AATTGTATGAAATAAAAATGTTTGCTTAAGCTACTTTGCTCTCTTAGTTTCTGCTGTGTTGTACTAAAAAGTCGAACACGGGGCGAAAATTTCGATTCGGGGAAACGCAGGAAGGAAGAGCAATGACTGCGCGCCACCGTTCGCGATACAAATTGCCGCGCCGCCGTGCAATGTCGTCGCGATTGATTGACGCGGGCATTATTAATGCCCGGTTGTTTCGATTAATAACCTCCGCTTTCAGAGACGCGGCTCCCCGTTTCTCGTCGCTCTGTTCGCGGCGATCGCGCGCGCTGCGGTCGGGAAGTCGCGTCTTCGACATGACCTGATCGGCTGGCGTTTCGCGACGGAGCAATCACAGCCGCGCACTCGGTCCAATTAACCGCGGTAATTCCCATTCTGGCTTGACTTACAACGGAAGACGGCGACGGATGTTTCGTTCGCGCGCCTCCACAGCGGCAGGCTTTGACGAACTTAACGTCCGCTTAGTCCCGACGCAAAGCTGGCTCAATTACGAAAATAATTCGGGGTCTCCGCGGGATCACAGACCGCTGCCGCGAATTCGAGCTTTCGGAGCACGCAGGGAATCTCCCGGTTTCGATCGACGCTCGTCGAGACGTTACGTGTCAATCGCGTTCCTCGCGGGACGATACGGCGCGTCCGATCAACGGCCCGTCGTTATCAATCGATTGTCGATCACTTCTCACCGCTCGTGCCGAAGGGAAAACGAGGGCGAAAAGGTGGGCCGGCGTTCTCGAGGAGAATGACTTACGGCAGGTGGGTCGACGACGACGAGGACGGCGACAGCAAAGACGGAGATGAAGACGGAGAGACGCTCGTCCGTCATCACGAAGACGACGAGGACGACGGTGCATCCGATGACCGCGTTTCCGCGACGCGTTGCCTGCGCCTTGCTCGCTTTAAGCGCATCATCCGGTCGGCCCCGAACGCGCGGGTTGATTGACCGCCGGTGGTCGCGCGCGCTGCACTATCGATTATACGTCTGGCGAAACGGAGCAGCAGCAGCAGCACGTGGTGTGGTGCCTTCGACTAGGCCAGCGGTGTGCGCGCGGCCCTACGCCCTGTCCTTCGTACGCTCGGCGCATGTTTATCGGCCTTCCCCGCGTTTCGCCCGCCGCGGAGGACCGATATAATCGCGCTATCATTCGATTCACACGGCGAAGGTGGAAGCTACCGGGCGCGCGAAATCGCCGAGTACGAATCACGAGAGGGAGGGCGTCCGCGCGATTTTCCTCGCTCCTTCTCGACGTTTAGCGCGCGGAAACCTTTCGCGCCCCGGCCGGCGAAATGTCGCGTTATTTCTACAACCGAAGACCTTTCCCGCGCCGCCGAGTCGTAACGATTCAATCTTAGGGATCGCGACGTCCGGTAGCGCTGGAAACGCTTTCTGCTGGAAGTCACGTTAATCTGCAAGCCGAGTCGAAGTTTGGACGGCACGCTCTTAGGAAAATAGTTCGCGGAAGTCGTTTCCTCCTGTCTAGATAGACGATAGAAATCGGAAAGTCGGTTTGGATTGAATTTCGACGCAGCCGGGTCTCCGATCGGCCGATTCGCTTACGTCGGTCGCGTGGTTATTTTAGCGGCCGCGTATTACACGAGTGAAAAAGTAACAGGTAATCACACGATCAACGCTGTCGCGGATCGCGCGGGAGTTACTTCGCAACGGTCGGTGGTTAATGAAATTAGCGAGGCTAATTTCCCCGCGCCGCGCCAGGATCGGTTAACTATAGGGAAATTCCAGCGTTTAACAGCTTTTTTTGTAGCTGTGAAAGTTCAGTTTATCGGGGCTGAGCAGTTTAGCTACCTCACCTGCCTCCCCCCCCCCCCCACATTGTTGTAGCCGCTGAATCAGCGGACTNCGGACTTTAATCATCCGGAATCTTGCATGCGCAGGAGAAAATGAATTCGCTGCAGTCACGCGAATCGTCGTTACATGTAGCCGGGATCGGCCGTACGAGTTACTATTTCTTTCGCGGAATAAATCAAGCCGCGCAAAAATTAGCCTCCGCTGAAATCGCACGCGCGCGCAAGACAAATATATTTCCCTTTGCGTTCCACCCGCGCGCTGCTACACTCTCGCATTCTCCGCCGTGTGATATTACGTTCCCGAATTAGCTCGTCCGTCGTGCGGATTTTCCACGCTCGAGTCCGCACGGAGAGAGCCGATTTTATCAACGTCGATTAACCGGTAATCGTGGTAAATTTAATTTTGGCTTTTCACCCTCCGCTCATCTCTCTCTCTCTCTCTCTCTCTCTCTCATTCTCTAGACGTAGGAAAGATAAAAAGTAAATTATAGCGCACGGTTTCAGGTAATTGACGTTGATGAGAAAGCGTAAGAGGAACCTGGAGTGAGGGGGGAGGGGGCAAAGGATGAAAATGAAGTCGGAAAGAGAATCAATGTCGATATACACTTTGCGAGTTTGCGGCGCCAATTACCCCGCGGTTGGTCCGCGCAACGGCAATTGACGTCGTGTAATTCGATGAGGGACATTCGCACGTTCGCTCCGTCGCAGTCGGCGGTGCGAAGAACGTGCGTAGGCGATCTATCGACCAACAACAGCAACCATTTGGCAATAAGTTCTTTTTATTTATTAAGAAAAGTCTCCCTGTTTATTAGCGTCGTTGAGTAAGTACCGTGTCGTAGTTTTTCGCGCGAGGATAAACATATCTCGGCGTTTGTGTGTCGCATAATTCCGCACGCGTAGCAAAATAAATCGGATATCTTTTGTGTTCTTCTTCCTTTTCTTCTTCTTCTTCTTTTTTATTATTATTATTATTCTGTACGAAATTGTCGTTGCGGCGAGTCGCCTTTACCGGACGAGTCGTTTATCCAAGGCGCTTTACAAGGATGCCGGTCGTGTTTCTTCTTCCTTTTTCTCTTTTTTTTGTCATCGTTTTTCTCTTTTCCACCATTTTAATATCGTACAATTAAATTACATCGAGGGTAAATAGGTCGCTGTCCGTATCCGTACGGTTCTCAGAGAGGCTTATACATCCGAACGGATACCGACTAATGCTCTGCAATTATATTAAAGTGGCAAGAGAAGCCGCATTCAAACCGCCTTATACGCTAATATTTATAATTATAATTCATCACAGCAATAAACAAAATATACGTGTGCGCATGTGGATGTACAAAACTCGTGAGTCGCCTCTCTCTTTCTCTTTCATTCACTCTCTCTCTTTCTTTCTCTCACTCTCACACTCTCTCTCTCTTTTTCTCGCTGTCTCTCCTTTATCTTCTCTTCATTCGCTTTTTTCTCGCGCGAGAATCACTCGCGATTTCCGGCTTCTCGCGTTGTCACGCCTTACAAATTAGAGAGCTTACTTTAGAAATATTAGAATTACATCCTGTAATATCTGTTTCCGGAATTCAATACAGCCGCGTCGATTACGAGTTACGCGGGCTGGGGGTGTGAAAGGAGGGAATCTCATGTTCACGCTGCGTAGGAAAAGGGCGGGGACTAATTAAAACTCGCAAATACGCACGCACAACAGTGAATCCTGTCGAATTTCTCTCGCCGAAGGAAAGAAAAATATGTATGGAGACAAGTTTTCCGGTGGGAAGAGTAACCGATCGTTCGTTACTTTTGCGATTCGCGTAAGGCATTAGAAATTGTATATTTAAGGCATCGGTCGTCGTTTCTGCTTCGCATCTGGGACGCGCGTAAAGTAACAAGGCCTGCACTCACTCTTTCTTTCTCTCTCTATCTTTCTCTCTGTGTCGCTAGTAGGTCTCGTCTCAAAGTAGAGCGTGTATAGAAATAAACAACGAAATGTAGTTGTTACAATCTAGTAAAGTACCAATACGCCAGTAGAGTATCGATAGTAATAATGTATAATGAAGATAACGATGACGGCAACAAAGACGACATCTACGATCTCGGTCAACGCATCTCGATGCAACGATGATGATGATCGACGATTGATGACGTTGCTTTTTGCTGTCGGAGCTTGACGCTAACGATAACGCAGTATAGTTACAAAAAAATTACATAAAATATAGTTATACGTACGTGTGTATATACGACTACGTTTTCACTTAGCGTGTGAAGTTATGTGTCTTTGTGTGCGCGCATGTATGTGTATCTGTATGTGTATATGTTTTAACGGGGGTTTTAAGGACATATCGCGATAGGTCGTCCTATCTGTACAAAAATAAGAATCTGTCTCGTTATTAAATGCTCAAATATTTAATAATTCGAATCCATACACTTTCGCTTATCAACAAATCACCTGAATTCCGGAACAGTCCATTATTTAGAAAATATATGGTATATATACAATAAAAATGTTTTTCGAGTTCATCTTCGTTCGTTTCACTCTCTCTCTCTCTCTCTCTCTCTCTCTCTCTCTCTCTTTTGCTCGTTCTTTTCGTTCTCTTTTTGGCTGTCACATTTACGCCTAGATGTGATGAATATCACAGAGTTAATGGATGTAGATCCGACTAATGTAGTAATGAAGTGTGTGTGCTGCGTGTGTGAGGTCTTCTTTTTTTTACATGCTCCCCTTCTTGCCGGCCTCATACTCGCGCTTTTCCCCTAAGTTCACGCGAGCACGTTCGCGTGGCTCCCTATGTAAGTATCTGTGTGTACGCGTATATAATCAATAAAACTGTGTGTATGTATATATACACATTCCGGTGCGTGAATGCTATTTAATAAAAATATAAAACTATTGAACTCTCTCTTTCTTTCTCTTTCTCTAACTCTCTCTTCTTTCGTGTTGGACCGCATTCTCGGCTTCTCTCCGCCGTCACAGCGATATCGCGATGAGTTTACTACGCTATTACCTCTCTTTGATACCCGAATCTGTACAAATTTCACGTATTGGACGAGTCGAAGAGCGACCATGCGATAAAATATTCGCACGAGCATCGAAGCTCTTGCGCATCAGACGAAGTTGCAGGGAACGCGCGGCGAAACACGAGAAAAATCGAAACGACATTACTCGAAGTCGTTTACGCGGTGTAATACTTTTGCCCCCCCCCCCCCCCCNGATCCGAATGGTTGGTATCGTGGAGAATGTGAGTCGTGCGTTATCTCAATTCGCGAGAATGCAGTAGCGAGGAAAACGCGTGTAATGTACACTCGTCTTTAACTATATGCGGTATGCATTTGTGTCACGCGAGCGATTTTTGCGTAGATTAGGCTGCAGGAAAGAAGAGCGATATCGTCCGGTGATCAGGAAAAAATTGCAATTTCACAACCGAACAATTCGGGAGCGACCGAAGCGACCGCGCGTCCGAATCCCAGACACGCGGCTGAGATCGTATCGTCGATGACGAACGGGAGATAACGAGATGCGTGATCGATCTGTTTCCGACATCCACTAACTCTATGTTAGAGATGCAAAAGCACTATGTTCACACGCGACGAATGCGCGTTCTGAGAGATCCGCGGATGCACACTCGGCCGGTCGACTAGATCGAAAGTTACATTGCGATAAAGTTCGTAAGTTTGCGCGACTGGCTCGACGGAGCGACGATATATATCTCTATCTTTAAATTCCGAGAAGTTACACACAGTATATATCGATTTCGGGGTTTAAAGATAATTGACATTTCTTATTTTTATTTTCAATTATTTTCAATTAGTTTCATTTTATTTTGAATATTTCGCATTTTGTTTTTATTATGTTGTCTCTACAAGTACAATGTTTTTTTGTATTCACTCTTTTAGAGGAAAAGTTTTCGCTCCCGTATAATATATTGAAAATAAAATAAGATGGAAAATATAAAAATAATTGATATATTCGAAATTCTCCAACGTATTCAAGTGGATTCGAAAACTACTTAGAAAGATGAAAGATTTTGACAAAATCACTTCGGTGACCACTTTGATGGAAGTCTACAATTGAGATTGTAATTAAATTAAATTAAATTAAATTAATTAATTAGCTCTTGATTAATTTCCACGTATCGACTCGCCCGTCGTGGGCGTGAATTTCACGCTCGTGTAAGCAATTTCCGTAGGAGAGCGCGTCGAATAACGTCGTTGGCTGATTCGTTTTCGATTCCCGACTCACGTCAGCTCCACGAACTTACGAACTTTGGCGGTCCGAGTGCACGGCGCGGACCTTCGTTTGCGAGGCCGATCTCGAGAATGTCTTCGAAAATGTACGCACTTCTTCCGGTGACGAAATACAATCGTGTGAGCGGTATACTTGTTACTCTTCTTTTTAGAAACAGTCTTTATACAATATCTCAATTATTATGTACAACCGTTGCGTACTAGCTAAAAGATAAAACCTATATTTCCCTTGCCGTTTACATAAAATCCACGTACACGAGTTCAACCGGTCATCGGATTGTAATTACTTATACGTACCGATCCTCTCGCTCGAAAATAACCCAATTGAAATCTCGACACCCCACTTATTATACCCTGGTCGTATTTACAATTAGCGCGATTACTTAGTAAGAATATACACGTGAGTCTTCGAGGCTTAAAGTACTCCGAAGTGGTCGTGATTCGAGGCTGTCGCGTTAAACTACACACTTTCGTTAATCCGCTCCGAAAATACCCGGGCTGGAACGACGTCTCCAAATATATATATATATGCTCGAGATTATAAACGAGTTTCCAACTATGAACGATAAATCATTCATTGCACGTTACTCTTCTATTGTATTACTCCGAATCTCGAGTATCTCTCCGAGAATACCTCGCGTTTCGAATTTTTTCCAATCGCATTTCGTCCCACAGGGTCTCCCCTGCGAGGATGTATTTTCCACTCGAGACTCGTATTTTTGGTATCGCCTCCCAGCCCTGAATATCCCCTGAATATCATCCCCGCTCTCTCCTTTTCTCGCACGGAAATCGAACGGAAAGCACACGAGCGATCGTAAATAATCCGCGCAAACGGAACCACCGTGTAGCCGACGTTCTAATTAGTCAACAAATCTGGCAGTAAAATTAGCATGTACGTGATGATGCACGCCGGGGGGAAAAAAAACACCGCTGCCCGGAATCTAGGCCGCGCCTGGAGCGTCAGTCGCTCTCGTGCGGAACACGAGTTTCGTTACGAAATATTGCGAAAAGTAATATATCGTAAAAAAATAATCGTACAAAATTCTAAAAAACGGTGTACGGCTCGCTCGCTCTCTCTATCTCTCTTCATCTCTGTCTATCTATCTATCTATCTCTATTTCGCCTCTCGGGTCTCCCATTGGGAACCAATGGCGATCGGCGGCGATTTTAGCGTAATTAGGCTTGCTGCGTCGACAGAACGGAAATTATATTGTCGATAATGGATGTTAAGCTGCACGTCGTTCTCATGTCGCGTCTTTCTTTATCGCGTATCGACAGCTGGTCGATCGATAGCTGCTATCAAACTGCGAGCTATATATATGTACACACACACGCACTTCCAGTAACACGCAATACCTGAGAGAATCCGTGCTGGAAATTACACCCCGAGACCCCTTACGTAATAGCTGCAGATCATCTCGAGAGTAATACGCGGAGCGTATTAGCAGCTATGTAAGCCGCCGCCGCCGCGTACAGGGTAAACAGAAGCGAAGGTAACGACGACAACGGAGTAGACGCCAGGCTCGAAGCCGCTTTCGTTAAATCCTCGCACACACCTGTAACATAACGCAAACGTGACGCTGAATATTTATATCGCGCTTATCCAGCATGCTCGCGTTTAAGAGCGACGTAACGTGATATATCATAGAGGTCACAGGAGGCGGCGATGTAACCGTAATTATCTCCCGCTGTACCAGTGCTGAGCGATTAAATTGCTCCGCTGAACACACAACTTTTCGGCAATCTCTCTCGACATACCGCTGCCCGCCCCGATTAATCTTTTATTAAACGACCGATATCTCAACGATAAGATCTCTCACGATCTCGCACGATACGAAAAGTTTCTCGCTCGTAGTACAGCGCTGTGCATTAATGCCGTCCTATTTCCTAGGCGTACCGATATCTGAAATCAGGCGTATTATTTCTGAATATTCATGCATCATAACTACTGATTACTCGGCAAGGGTTGCTTCTTCGAAACCGCAATTATGGTGCGCGGAATATTCAGAAATGATGAGCCTAATTCGAGATTTCCGGCATCGCTATGCCTGTGGGAAATGGGACGGCATCAATGCGTGCATGACGATTCGTGCGTTAATCTTCGCAGCTGCCGGTCGCGACAATTCTCGCGAGGAAAACGTGTCGCATCTTCGTCAATAATCACCTTGACTCGACAGCCGGTACGTCCATTCCTCCTTGGCTTCTCTCTGGCAAGTATGGGACGGCCTCGACAGCCACAACTCTTGCTCCTGTTGCTTCAGCCTGCCGCTTCTTCCCGAAGCTTTGTCCCTGACGCCCTCCTGGCGCATGGTGAAGCAGAACGTTTCGCCTAGACCGATCGGGAATTCGGGGTTTCTTTGCGACGCGATCGTGTACCACGTGCCCTTCTCCTCCCAGCTACCGTGGCAGTAATAGGCTGGCGAAGAGAGAAACATCGATTCCTTAGCTTCCTCGTCGCTCACGGGACGCACAAATTCACCCGACTCACCTATCTCCTCGTGTTCGCACGTGTTGGCGATTATCATTTCCGTCTGGTCGGACGACGTGCAACCCACTTGGATATGCGTGCTCCTGCACTCCTCGTCCTCGGTATTGTCCTGCCAAGTCCGCCTCTTGGTTGTCTTGGACAGCTCGCTGCGTCGTTGTCGTCTCGACGTGGCGGCCGACAGCACATGGGACGGTGCGAAATCCAGGATTTCGTACCGTCCCGGATTAGGGCACTTCCTCTGATGCAGGAACGTGGCTGTGGCGCGCGAAAACACACCCGATTTGCATACAACACCTTTTACACCGTCCGCCCACCGCTAATCCACGATACGGCGGGAATGCGCGAGCGACAACACGGATTTACCATCAATATTAATGAGCGACGGGCGCGACACGGATCGGGCACTTACTTATTAAGGTCGTGTACGGCATCGTCGAGGGATCCGAGATCGAGCACGCCTCGTCCGGCATAATCGCTTTTTGGTCTGCGATCAAAGAAGGGAGACAATTAGGACACAATCGCGGCATCGATCGCCCCGCGAACGCGGGGCGTAGACGAAGCGGAAAAAACACCCACCCGATTGCTGAATCTCGATGATGTGACTGTCCCTCCTGTGGAATATCATGCAAACGTATCCGATGTCGCTGAAATCACAAGTGAGATTAAATAAGAATACGGGACACCAGGCGAAGTGAAGAACGAGAAGCCGACGGAAGGATCTTTACCAGCCGCTGGTGACGTGCGCGATCAGCTTAACTTTGTTGCCCTGCATGTTGTCGTTCGGGTAGAGCTGCTCCAAATTGTGACAGACGATCTTTTCCTCGTGCAGCGTGTCCCCGTTGGTGGAGTCTTGCGACTGCGCCTTCACCTTGAGCGTGGCGTTCTTGTTGGTGAAGTGATAGACCTTCGTGCCGTCGAGAGAGTGCCAGTCGTGATGTTGGGTCACCCAGCCCGGATACTTGCACTTGTGCTCTTTGTCGACTGTCGACAAACGCGCGAGGAGATCCGTGAGAGATGAAATTAGGACCCGTATTCGTGGTCAGATCTTATATTTAAAGGAATGTCATACTTGAAAACTTGGCCGGCGACAAAATACTGACTTACTTCTGTCTCAAAGTTTATATCGTATTGGCTGTACAAAATTATAAGTGCTTTTACACGGTGAGTGTATACGCGGAAATAAATTGGAGCATTGCTCGATACGTGACGCGAAAATGGTAAAAAATTTCACACACAAGTGTGTCAATGTTCCAATCACGAAATTAAAAAAATAAAATTTACACCTTTTCAATTAGATTTAGAGACCTGAAAAGATACAAAAAAAAAATTGCAGAATATTTTTTATATTGCTTCTTCTGTTGAACGCAGTCAATGATACACTCCGTGCAATATCTGAGGATGAATTTGAGACGACCCTCGATGAAAGATCTGATTAGAAAAACCGCTCTCTAGAAGGCATCGAGAAGCTTTCTCTCTCCTCTTTCCCGGGCAATTACCTTTCGTGAGTTTTATGGTGGGCGAACCCTCGGAGACGGTGGTTAGGCCGTTGCAGGTCGGGTCGCCGGACTGAGCGAGCAGGTAGATCTTGCCCTGATGATGAGCCCTCTCCTCGTACAGAAAACACCTGTCGGGAATGGAGAAGCGTCATTTGACAAAATGCGCCCGCGAAACTCTCTCGGCGCGTTTCTCATCTCCGGTTTCTCTCGGTTTCGCTTGTTAGCGTCTTCATCTCGCGTCTCTCCCAACTCCGCGCCTCGCGGAGAAACAATCGAAAGCCGCGCGTGGAAAATGGCCACGTGAAAGATGACAAATGAGCGGTTAACCATCTTTTTCACCTCGCCGACTCGGCGCACGGCCCCCATCGTACGCCGTGAACACCGTAATAACGAAATGCGACACGCTGAGAACCGCGATGCATAAACATCTGGCGGGCACGGAGGCAGGTGCTGCGACGGGCCACGTATTATAAGTAAGCGACTTGACGCGCGCGCACGGTGCGAGCATGCTGCGACAAAATCGCGTAGCAGCGACAATACGTTACGATGTTAAAGAAACGGTAGGTTCACCTGAAGATCCTGCCGTCGCCCAAGGCGTTCCTTCCTTTCAGGGTTCCCACCAAGTACTTGTTTCGGCCGTCGTTCCACACGGCGAGGCACTGCAGCTCCTCCGCTGCAAACAACGAGAAACGTGACCGTGTGAAAAGAAGAGATATCGGTCTCGCGCGACTAACGAAGCGAAACGGGCCGAAGATCTCGCTGAAACACGCTCGAAATATCTCTGATCGCACGCGCATATATTTCGACCCTATCATGTGGAATTGTCCACGAGAATGAAGCTTTCATGACACACACAAACACGTAAGCAGTGAGGAAATCGTTCAACCACAATCGATTGTTCTCGGACTGCGAGGAGAACAGGCGGGCTGTGATTCGCTTACTGCTTACGCTTTAGTGCGTGCTATTATCGTGCTATCGCAACCTTTGATCCGCCGACTGTATAATAACTACTTTCCACGTTAAACCGACCATCTCTAAGCCGCAATTAATATTCGTCTCGATCCCTTTTCTCAATCGTCCCCGTTTAAGAAATTCCCCCGGACCTGACAGTTCTATTATATGTACCATACTTCTATGAGACTCGTCAACGACGTAAAGGCAATGCGCATTAAGTAGGGCGAATTAAGGCCCGTTTAATCGGACAATGCATTTACGACGCGATCATCGACGCAACGTACTGTTACTCTCGGTCCCCTCGACGTCCGGGCAGGCTTGGTACTTGAGCAGAAGCTTGCTCTCGTCGATGCACTTCTCCGCGAGACTGATGGGCATCACGCACTCGCCGTAGCCCCGGTTGTACGAAAACGTGAACGACGCGCCGGCGAACGGGCAGGGTATCGGTTTGGAATTCATGCGGAATATTGAGTAGAGTATGTCGTCCGAGGTGATCATGTTGCACATGTCGTCCAAACTCGTTCGTTCCTGGCTGCACCAGCCTGCGGAGCGACGGAGCAGTATAAAACGTGTTATCGGGTTAGTTGAATTGTTCTCGAGTAAATAATTGCACATTCGTAATCTTTTTCTCTAATCATAGCGCGCGCTCGAGCTAAATCGCCGGGTCGACGTACGTACCTTCGCGATACTGAATCACGTTATCATGCCGTTGGTTCATGATTATACACTGGTAACAGTTGTCGCCGCTGAAACTGCAAAGAAAATTCCTCCCGTCAATCGTCGCGACTCGATATATTCGAATTTCGATAACCTCGCATCGTGAATCGCGCGCAATGCGCCGCCGTTTAAGAGGGTGTACGATCAGACTTTCGGACGATACTCACTATAAGATGTACTTGTCATCCTTCGTCTCGACGCATGTTTTATCCCCGAGGAGGGTCGTGTTTATACTGAATAGTGGCTTGCCATACTGGTACCATTCCCCCGTCCAAACTGACGGAAAGTCGCAGGATCCTGTAATGCACGGAGATTCTTCGTTAACGCGCTTCGCCCAGCAGCCTCCGATATGCTATCATTCTTATCGATCGTGTGATAATGAGTAATGATAATTAATGTGCGGTTTAAATTTTTTGCAGTGAAATCTCATTCCTTCCTTCAGTATATGGCTCCAACTACCCGTGAGGGCATGCGCCATTTCACAATAGATCGTTGATTATGATTGCCAGATGATTACTTGGATGATAGATTAAGGTAGTTAACTTTACCTAACCAGCTAATAAATGTTAATTTTGAGCGGAATTAGGGGAAATATAATATTACACACAGGAAAATATTATTTATTTTTCTTATTAATGTTTGATACGCAAATTGAGTTAATAGAAATGCACACATAATAAAAAGTTATATATAAATATTTAAATATATATATGTACGTATGTATATCGCGGGATATTACTATAAATTGTAAATTTCCTATGGCTATATTTTCAAAATAAATTGTCATAAAAATCCTAAATGTAGTTTAGATGAGATTAAAAATAAAATGAAAAGTCTTAAATCTAATTCGGAGATTCTAGTATACGTACTGCCAAAGTAAGTACGACTTGAGAAAAATATGCAGTTTACTAACGAATTCGGTCACGGAAGTGCGTGCACGGAGAAAACAATTCCGTTGGTGTAACTGAATTTTCCGTTGCCTGGGGACCAGACGAAAACTCGGTTACAAGAACAGAAAGATTTCTGTGGGAGGTTTCCACTCGGTCAATTGCTCTCAACCGAGTTTTAACGCAGCTGAATGCTCATACAAATGTTCTCAGTCGCGGAAACGGAGAAAGAGCATTTCTTATCACCGAGCTTTCATTTCTTATCACCGAGTTTTCATCTTGTCCCTATTCAGTTGCAGAAACGGAGTTTTTTTTTCTCCGTGTGTGTGCCGCCAAACAAAAACCTTTTCAATTTCACTTAAAATAAGAGAAAAGTGACAGTATTTTTACTCGAAGCGATAGTGAAAATACTGCCATTCGAAATCGTTTCACTCGAGCTTAGAATGGAATCAGACTCCATATGAGCGAATGTTTCAATCGATCGGAGTGAATATGTGACGGTGGAATAGGTCTGCGTCATGTATGCTGTGCCATTCCATAGGCGGAGAGTCACAGATTTTCAGTCTTATATATAAAGCATACGGTTGAAAATGGTACAAGTAACTCTAATTGTAGTGTGATTGAGTTGTGATTGAATTGTGTAGGACTATAACGATTCTGATTACAGGCATGGAATTTAAAATAGTGCCAAAATTAGCGAGAAACGCGAGTTTCATTCTTGAAAAAGTAAGAAAATAGTGAGTGAGCATTTACAAAAGTGAGTCCTTTTCAAGTAATTTATACGTTATAAATTAAATCGCTCATCATTACGTCATTCTCCTAAGAGATTAAAAACAATGATAATGAAAGTATTCACTACGACGATTCCGAGCGGGGAATTCACTTTCTACGACTGGAAAGTCACTCGAATTCGAGTGATTCGATGGCCGCTCTACTTCTCGCGCGAGATTGCACTCCGAGAAATGTCTGGAGTGTCCCACGCTAATCGAGTCCGACTCCTCGATGAATTCAAGGGCGATCTCTGTCTGAGCGTTTTCACTTAATAGACATTCAGGTGTGGCTCATCGTCGCGACTCGAAAATTACAAGCGAGAAGAGCACGGTATCTCCCTCCGAACGCGCGATCCTTCCCCGACGGAATCGTTTCTTCTCGGCCAACCGGTCTGATCGGGCCAGGTGGAGAACTCGAAGGCGAAGGCTCGCTTGATTGGGAGAATTAAGAGGCTCCACGTGGTCGGAGTTTTCATTAAGAGGAGTGTACGATTAGAAAATTGCTATCGGGCTCGGCGCAACGAGGCTCAGGGCGTGAGAGCCAGAACGACGGCTAAGAACGAGGGGCTGCGTGCGTGCGTGCGTGCGTGCGTGCGTTGCGTGGCAGGACGGCATCGTGGACCAGCCGCGCTCGAGGAATGCCGAGGGAATGCGCGCGTTAGGAGCGGGGAAAAAAAACGAAATTAACGACTCGCGGACGAGTTATTATACCCGTCGTCGTTTTCCCATCCTGTCGTCGCCCGTTTATCTTAGTCACCGGCCGGCCGAGCGAGCGAGCGAGCGACGCTATTTAGCGAGTTCCAGCGAAAAGTTGCCAGACGGGAGCAGCACACGGCGACTGTAAAAGTTCTCAGACGCGAACGCGATAGAATGGCGCGTCTCTCCGTCGTCTAGCTGGAAGCGGAATAATCGGCCGTTTCAAATAGACGGCTCCATAAACGAGCGAGCCCGATCAACAGTCTTCTCGTGATTTCGCAGGAAGAGAACGACCAACTCGATTCTAGGTCGGCTCTCGGCTGAAAGCGCGTTGCGGAATAATACGCGCGGCGCCGTGAGAAACGCACGTCGCCGCGGTGTCCGGGGTATTTCTTTCAGGGGAAAATGGGAGGGGGGGTCCGCCGGGTTTTTGGATCTCTCGCGGGTTCCTCGTGAAATATGGGTCTCGGGTCGCGTGGCGCAGAGGTCAGGCGATAAATGCCCCTTGGCTACGTAGGTCCGAGCGCGGTTCGACAGTGCGTATTTATCGGCGCCGGCGACGTTCTCGGTGCGTTCGATCGAACGCGTGTGTACACACACGCATATATATTCGGGGTGGTTGCTTGCTCGAACTTGCCGACGCGAACGGTGGCGAACGTCAGAAATAGCCGGGAAGAAGAGGGCGGAGAAGGCGGCGGAGGGTGCGCGAAGGGAAATGGGATACACGCGAGAGCGTCTACAGGGTGTCCCCCTTAGCTTAAAGCCCGGGCCTTAATATTAATGACACACAGACATACGCGCGCGCGCCCGCACGCCCACACCGGCGAGAACCCGTTGCGAGTCGCCGCGCTGCGTCGAGGGGGAAATTCCGCACGGCCGGCCATTATCGGCGATAACCATTAAGCGTCTCGATAATTAAAGGTCTAAAGAATTCATGCGAGAATCGGACGCGATATCGGAGCCGAATTCACAGCGTAATCGTGTCATCCGTAATCGCCCTTCGGCCGGAGTCGGCAGCGCGACATTCCGCAGCTTGAAGCGTCTCGCGAAGAACCAGTGCGATGGCGAAATCGACTCGTCGTCAATCTGTACCTCGACAGCAACATCCAACAGCGCCTCCGGGACACCTAGTACATAAGCGACGTGCGCACGTGTATCGGGAGCGCGCGCGCGACAACGCGTCGAGAAGGAAGAAGAAGGGCGAGGAGGAGTCGTCGACCGTTTTAGACACGCATCTTTCGTCGAAGGAACATCATTTATCTCGACATGCGGGGGAGGAGTAACGGAGGAGAAACGGGGAAGGCGGCGCATAAGAGGGTGGTGGTGTCGTCCCGCGCTTCTTCTTCTTCCTCGTTGTCGTCGAACGAGAAACCGGCGACAGATACTGGCGGTCGGCGAGGACAGCTTCGACGACGAGCGGCGGCGGCGGTTTTGTGCGTCGCGTCTCGCGCGGTTAACAGCTCTTTTTCAGAGAGAGAGAGAGAGAGCCGCCAACAAGCAAGGCGAGACGAGGGAGAGAGGCGCGAAGCCGTAGAAAGCGGGGGAGACTCGTTAACGAGCTAACGAGCTCGCGAGTGCATCCGCACGGCGCGAGCCGGCTGCGCTGAAAACACGAGGAGTCAGACGGAAACGCGAGGAAACGGCGAGAGGAAGGGTCCGAACTCCGGCGGCGGCTCCTTCTCATGACGGCACAGAGACGCCGTGTGTCCCGGAGGGACCGGCGTGTAAATAAACGCGCATCCGCGCTGATTAAGTCGCGCGCCCGCACTGCGCGGCCACGCCGTGAATCTCTCCCTCTCTCTCTCTCTCTCTCTTTAGATCTTTTCAAAACACAGCAGTCGTTCCTTACAATCAAATACCGCAACATTTAACGGACTCAAAGACACCTGTGGCTTTAAACACGGAATTTATCGACACGCGCGAATAAATCACACGGAAAAAGAGTCCTACTGTTTAAGTAGTATTTGTAATCTCCAAGTAAAATGGTTACTCAAATACTCTTTAGCAATTATTTACTAGAAGTAAAAAAGATAACTGACTATATACGATTTCTTTCGTAATAAATAGTTTCACTTGTATATGTTAAAACAAGTGCGACAAGTATTAAATTCATAATATTGAGAATATCAGAGTTTATTTTTAGATAACATTTTACTGGACAGAAAAATCGAAATTTAAAACCATTTTCTTCAGCGGAAAATAAATATTACACATAATTCTAATAAATATTCGCTTCAATTTCGAGCCATTTTATATTTATATTTAGTAATTCATTTACAAATTAAGATATTATTACATTCAAGCAAGTAGTTACCACAAGCTATTAAAATATATTTAAATTGGTGAAAACATTACGTGATTTAAAAGATTGAAAAGCAAGTACTCACGTTCATTTGATTCTGAACACTTTTCCTGTGCGTGTTCTATAATGATTTGACATGAATATAAAGGATGAAATTGATTTGTAAATCAATTTAGCAAGAGCATAGGTTAAGTATTAATCCGCTGCGTCTAAACGCGTTACTTAGCACATTTATTTTTACTAAGATTCGGTCTTTTCTCCCTTTTAATCTTCTATATCAATTCTTAACATTTTTAGAGGGATCTGTTTTTGGAGCGACAATAAAGATATCGATCAATCCGGAGGTGAAACGAACCTCCGCGAATAAAGATGTCGAGGTGTGTTATAATACGCGAATAGCCACCGCGATCATTGCTCGCCGGCGAGACGATCTTTTTCGGAGCGTCGTTACCTTCGCGGGGAATTGTTACATCGGCTAATTTTACGGAGACTTTATTTGAACAGCTTCATCAGACGGATTAAACGAATTTAATAGGTTTTCAGCAGACGCGACTTCGAAATTTCAATTGTCCCTGTGCCAATTTTGACAAAGAAAACCAAACTAAAATAAACATATAATAAATGTATACGTTACGGGCGAGCAGCATAGCTCATCAAGACAGGATTCGGTTAATTGTCGTGGGCTTAACGAGGTTTCGGATTTTGCGGCTTTACTTTTAATGCTTGATTGAAAGAACGATGAGCCGACAGTAAAATAGACAATATTAATATGCAACGGCGATCTTTAAGGTAACGACGTTGTAAAAATCGATGTCACGCGATACCCGACGACATCGTGCTCTCAGCGTCGTCGATGCGACGAAACCTAGGAGCCTGTGAGAGATTCTCGAGAGGGCAAACGTCGTGACACGTTTATTTTTGAACCCTGGCACTTAGAGAGAGAAAGAGAGAGAAAGAGAGAGAGAGAGAGAGAGAGAGAGAGAAAAAGAGGGAGAAGACGACTCGTAAGTGGCGTTCAGGGACGTTGGACGAATAGACATGATTATTTACCGTTCCCTCATTGTTCACGCATTATCGAAGACACAGGGAATGTGTGACGATCGCGCCCACACGTGTGTATTTGCAGTCCATCGCGTACGCACACACGTAATCACGCACAAGCGGCGCGCTCGTAAGGTGACTCACCGTTTGCAGAGGGTAAATCGACCAATGGTAGTATCAGCAGCACCAACACCGACACTGGGGCGAGGATCCCTTTCCGACGTGGGAATGCCAGTTCCTGCATCCTGAAAAATGCCCATATTTTCATTAGGCGCGATTCGAAATAACGCGTGACGAAATACGCGTCGCGTTCCTGATTTCCCGACCACGCGGGAGAACGCGACGCGCTTCCTTCCCGTCTTCTCGGTTCCCCGGAAATCGTGACCCTATCAAGCGTAATTGCAAGTCCGATAATATTATAAACGATGATACGATAATGACAGACATAGAGACCGTACCTCGATGGGGTAGTAAGCGCGAGTGGCGCGAATATTAAAAGTGGATCGCTACGTAAGTAGCGTAAAGTAGCACGGACCACGTGTTCCTCAGCGATAAAGCACGCAGGGAATGGTGGGGGGGGAGTCGTATGCGAGCCGATGTATAGCCCGATAAGTAGATGAACGAGTTTATTTACCTCGGGACAAAAAGGGAAATAAAAGAGATACTCGAAGATAACGACGAAGGTACAGCGCATCGAAAAGGCATGAACGGAGACGTCTCGCGCTGACGGTATCGAACACGCTAGTGATGGTAAGTTACATAGGACGGGAATACAAATCTCGGTGTGTTCGCTTTATTGGTATTCGGGCATCCGGGAAACGATATCGGATGGACACGCTTCTGTGAATTTCACCTACTTTATTATACGGCTATTTGATTCGCGACAGAGACTTTCGAAGAAGAGCCTCGCTTCCAAGACGGAACTCCTTTTTTTTTTTACGTACGCAATGTAACAGCCACGGAGTGTGCGAAATGAGAAGTAGCTATTGTGATTGATGGTACATATTGAGTCATTATCGGTTTCATCTCAACCGACTCGAAACATCATCTTATACGGTCATCGTACACGGATGAAATATTGTAGTAAAGACCACAAAACTTTGTAATGCTGGATCATACCGGAATTATGACTGAAATTATGTGTGTTATAATTTATAGGGATGCATATCGTGTGTGTATACACACTATTAAAGATTACAACACACGTAATAATTTCGATAATAATTTCTGATTCCAGATGTGTACAAATTGTTCTGCGCTTACGTTCGAATTGAACAGCATTAAATTTGGATAACATCCGGGCCGAAATCGCTTTACGTTTCCCTGAACATAATGGGATAGATAAAAAGATGGATAAGATACAAGAATAGATGGACAAAAATAGATGGACAAACCATCAGGACGCACCTTCTCAGGACGACGCGTCGTGACAAGAAATAGATAGATAAAAGGAGATACGATAAAAAAAAATAGCTAAAAATGGGTAGGTAAACTCTCGGGACGGATATTCTCAGGACGACAATCACGCGGTACGACTAATTCGGCGTGTTCGAGGTGGACGAAGGTCGCGATTGATTGCGATCGGAATTATTTCTCGCGCCCGATTCGCGCTCGATTCAATTTAGTCGGATTCGCTCGGATCGCCGCACAACGGAGCGGTTAATTCCATTCCGGCGAAATTCGCGCTCGTCTGTAGCAACATTCCGCTACTTCCAATTTCCCGAGTGACGTCGGTTATTCCAACGGAGAAATACCGAAAGTCATCGCGCCGGCCGGAGGAATCGGGGTTGCCGTCATCGCGAGCATGCAACGAGAAAGTCGACCGCCGCCACCGTCGACACCACGCTGGGTCGCGGGTATCGTAAGTGAATCATTTGCTCGATAAAATCAATACTTCGGAAGGAGGACGTCTAATCCCTTTCTATGACTCGCGGGGTTTACTCAAAGGGACTACCGGCGTGCACACACATCGTGCGCGGTCGCACACGCATGACATTTTCTTCGTTCCCGTTCCAAGGAAATTCCCCCGCCCCCTCTTTACCACCCACCGCCGGCGAAACTACCTACGTCACGCTGTATGGTCATGGGTATCGAAACTTAATCAGCCGCGCGATAAAATCAATATCACGGAAAGGAGAACGGACTAATCCAACGTTATGACTTGCAGATTGCAGCCCCCTAAGAAATCTCTCGCGTGGGGACTACTTGAGCTGAAAAATATCTCTCGATAATTAACTCTGAGAGAGACATCCGTTATCTTGACACTGAAGTAACAAGCCTACATCGCAAAAAAATGGTAAAAGTCGTGATTTTTTGCAGATTTTGCTCTCTTATGGATTATTAATTTTTTTGACCAATTTTTATATTGTCTTCGTAAATTTACCGTTGCTACGAAACCAGTTATCACATCAGGCTGATAATGGCGGTGGTCACATGGACCCGACACTTTTTTCCGGCTAACAGACGAATAAGAAGTGGGATATAGCGGCTTACACAAAGCGTGAGAAAGGAGACGCGCGTAAGCCTCGTAGCCCTAATATGTTTCTGTCAGGTTTAACAATCAATCGTGCAAAATATATCGCGTCCTTGCTGTCCCTCGACTCACTCAGGTCAAGCGTGTGTTTTCCCCGAGCTACCTCGAGCTCGACGCGCTAAAAACGCGTCGTAAGATGGAAAGAAAACTCGTGATGACGAAGCTCGACGATAAAAATGTTTACCTTGCGTGCGTCGCGAGGAAAGTCGGAGAACGTGGCTGGCTACGTCGTCATCGGAGCGCAGTCGAGACGATCTCGCTGACGATGCTCCTCGTCGTCGTCGTCGTTACACTCAAGATCGAGAATTCGAGGCGCGCGCGAAAAAAGGGAAAGTCGCTGGCCTTCGAAAGACGGACGCGGCGCGGTTGCAACGCGATGTAACGCACCGCGCGACTCCTGCGTACAGGGTGGACACGAGGAATGAAAACAACGCTGAATAATCGTCGTCGACAACGGCGACCGACTATAGAGCGCCGCGCGACAAACGTCGTCCACCACGTACGTATCGCCACGTGAATGGAAAGAACGACGGACGCGCATTATTATTTCACGAAGTACACGTGTAGCGCTCCGCTTCGTTACGGCGCAACGCGACGCAACCGCGGCAGCTCCCCTCCCCCCCTCCCCTTCTTCTGGGTCTTTTCCGCTCGCGATTTTCCGCGAGCACACCGCGCGCTCCGAACACTCGTAGCCCACATTCGAATGCGCGCGTTTACGCACTCGTGGCCGGTATCGATCTTGACATTTCGCGCTGGTGGGACTACCCGTTCGCTCGTTTCGGCCGGGCTATATTCGGTATTAATGATCCCGTCGCCGTCGACGGCTGCGAGCGTAGTCGGGTTGTTAATAACGACCGCTAATAGTATCATAATATCGACGATCTCGTGTCTCTTCGAAGCTCTGCATTAACATTTCCTCGTGTTTTTCGAGAAAATCGGGACTGAAAAGCGGAGGAACACAATGGGGAAAATTTGTCTTTCTCGTCTGGACGGAATATCGATTATTCTCCTTTTTAGTCACAGACTTGTCAATACAAAGTTTTCGCGACCTGATTTAACGGAAAGATATTATTTTCACGGAAATAGGCCAGGTCAACAAGAACTTCTGGTGGACAAATGTGACAAAAAAAGAATGCAGAAAATTATTTTTATAATTTCTTTCGCGATGTAGACAAACTTACGATATTACTTTATCTCGTTTGAAAATTAACTTCTTGATTGTCGATAACGAGCATTTCCGTTATTTTGAACTTTGCACTTAGGACCAATCGAGGAAAATGGCGTGACAGTGAATGGGTTAAGGAAAAATAGTCACAGGGATGCTGATGTCGAAATTGGTCAAATTATTTGGATTTGGCTATAACTTTTTTTTTTGCGGGGTGAACATCTTCTTATCAATAATCTTTTTACGGACAAATGTGAGGAAATCAAATATGGACAAACGAATGTCGCGTAAATTTGATAGAAATTCGCACTTCGAGATGCTAAGAGATGCGCAGAGACCTACATCGAAGAATTCAGTCGAAATTGATTGTGAGAAGTGATATTTTCCAGTTTTTCGTTACACCTCGTAAATCGTATATTCACCGAGATCCTTATTTTCAATCTCGAATTATCCCGTAACTACCCCCGACCAGCGTCCCGACATTGGAGCAATCACCATTATTCTTGTCCGTCCCCGTATAACATCCGCGCGCGCGGCTGGAACGACATTCAATAGCAACGGCAGAGAGAACCTGTATTACAGGTAGGACTATAATTCCGAGAGGGACAACGAATCGCCTGACCATAGTGATTTAACTCGAGCTATTGGCGTGACCCCCCCTCGTGTCGGGAACACGGAAAATCTATTTACAAGAGCGGACGAATCCGTCGTGCTCGAAAATACATCACCCGTCACGCATAACAAATCGTGGAGTGTACGCAGGTATAATGCGTCGATGCAGTCAATCAGCTTTTTTTCCCATGATGATACTTTCTCCTATCCGGTCGTTAGGAATTTATTTATTATTAACTGAACTAGTGTATTTTGGTATGCAAAATAGAGAGTGAGTCTAAGACGTACGTTTGCTTTTCATCATTAAGACTAATTGTATGTGCTAATCAGACGAAAAGAGCATAGACACGCACAACCTCGAAAATTTAAAAAAAACCTCAAACTTTGAAAAGTGGGATTAAATTCCGAAAACTGAATATTGGGATAAAATCTCCCGAAATACTGTAGAAGTTATAATTTGGCGAGAGAATTTCATTTTTTCCGATATTTTAGAAAACTATCTTGGTACTCAATTTTCGGAATTGTAACTTTTCGGGATAAGTACATACTTTCAATATTTCTGGAAAGTTGTATTTCGGAAGATTGTCACAGTACTCAGTTTTCATATGCATTCACAGAATCATGAATATCATCATGAATAAGATCGATGTATTTCAAATATCTGTTAGATAAAATTCGATTTATATAATTAAATCTTCCGTAGTTCTGTGGAATTCTACATGAAATAATCAGGAGAGAGAGAGAGAGAGAGAGAGAGAATTATTTTAGAAGCTACTTTATACATAATATAATAATCTTTACGTGTAGAGGCTAAAGAAGGCTTCGAATTTCAAATTTGTATAATACTAATGTTAATACAATGACGATCGTGTAATCTCTGTACGAATCGTATACAAATATCGCACGTATTTTAGCGGAAAAATCAACGAGGGAGGACCAAACGCGCCAAAGGATTATCAGATTTCGATTATCTCCGGCGTATCAACGCGAGCGTCGGTGTTGCGTTACGCAATGAAAATGTCACGGAGCGGGGAATTAACATTATTCCGCGTCGCGGAAACGTGTATATCGTGCATCGTACCGAAAATAAAAACGAGAAGGGAGGGAGGGGGGAAAGGAAAATTAACGCGCGTTTGACGAATGGGATATTACAGAGGCTCACGAACGACAGCGCGAGTGAAAACGTTGGCGAAATGAACGTCCGGCGGCGCGCGATAATACAGGAACACGAGCGCGCATAGATCGAGTTTCCGTCCGCTTTGACGAGCCCGATAGATATTACGGCGGCAACAACGCCGCGAATAAATGTCTACGAAATACACGCGCGTGCGTGCATCCCGCAGCGCATTTGCAATATATACGGAAAGCGGTATCACCCCAAGGGAGAGATCGGGTTCCCTTCTCGCTTAGCTACCAGCCAGCAACGTCTCCTCCGAACGGTACACACGCGTTGCACTGTTATTTATCTTAAATGCGATCCGGTTATTGATCCTTAAAGCCGCCGGCTCGGCTCGCTGAATAAATAACGAATCGAGTAAATAAATACACGGGTCCGCCCGCTCCCGCTTCGGCTCTTTCTATGCCGTTCGCGCGATTATCTCAGGTGGAATATCATCCGCCTCGCGGTCATCGCGCCGTCGTGCCTTTTTACGCAACGATAACCGCTACCTACTCCTAGAGAAAGAGATAGAGTCTCTCGCCGACTAGAATTTCATAAGTGAGAGTCTTCGAGTTTTTGATAAAAAAAATTACGCTTGATTTCGTCACAAGAATGTGACAACTCTTTATCTACGAAGAGTGTCTGCAATATATATCGAGTTCAGACATTCTTCCGAAGATATACATGTCATTTATCTCGCGACACATAACATTTTTCTATCACTTGATTATTAATTATCGTTATTAATTATCTCCCATCTTAGAATGACATTTAGTTACAAATAGAGCCCATTTATTTGACGATCCCCAGTTCCTCTATTTCTGATCAAACAAGGAACTAGACCGATCAGTAAGAAGTCGAAGATTGCCAGACTCTTACTTGAGGGACTCTATAGCCGGCGATGCGAGCGAGGCACTTCCGATTTCTTTGCGGAAGAAGAACGTTGTTCTTTCACTTTGGAATCGGTTACCGTATAACACTTTTATCGCCACGTGGACCTTCTATATCGCGCGATTCGGAGCGCTTACGTGGAAGCTTACGTGTGCGAGTCGAGCTCTCGTTTCTAGAAATAGTCGCCGGTGACCATTTATCATATCGAAATGGTCTTCTTCCCAGTCATGGTCACATTAGATTCCAATTAGAGGCGAATCGATGACGACCTCTGACATCCGAAATTTTATGCGAACACGCGCTCACATCGAGCCACGGTTTCTTGCTCAATTATGTATTTCGCGTCGTTCTTCAAATACGCGTACACTAATGGAAACGGTAATTACGATGTAAACCAATTAGTTAAGTAATATTCAAATATTGACAATAGCAGCAATTATAACATGAATTATGACTAATTAATTGAATCGAACGCGCGCGCGCCGACAGAGCACAATAACTATCGCCGGTGTCCTGTGCGCGTATGGAAATACGTTTAGCCTCGGGAAAAAGTCGACGTTGTTCAGCGTTGTCCATCCATCCATCCATGTCAAACGATTCGGCAGTGTCGTCTCATTAGTGTCTCGCGAATACATAATCGACAGGGCTAATCGATAAATTCTGGCGCGGCAGTCGTGTGCGGACGTCGTGTCTCTCTCTTTCTCTCTTCTTCTCTCATGAGTGGGAACTCTCGCGTACACAACACACACACACATGCATGATACATATTATCCTGTAAATCCCGAAAACTCGCATATTAATAAAGCGATAGGTCACGCCCGCATCGGGACATTTATTTTCGCATTGTGTAATTTATCGAGGCATCGTGGATGCCGCAGAGAAGAAAAAGAAAGAGAACGACAGAATGAAATAAACGCGAGACCGGTCGCGATGATCTCAGGTACCTCTACTCTCGGGGCACCCCGATATCGTGACTCAGGTCGACGTGGTGTAAAGGGAAAAATCCCGTCGTCGCTGCACACACACCCGAAGCGGACAAAAGGCGACCGCAGAGTCCGGGTTGTACTCGTCCGACGTGTGTGTCTCGGTCAGCCTTTAATCTTTTCACTGTATCTTTATTATCGCGATCGACGCTCGGAAGGGGAGAATCGTTTGGCCGATTGAATAGCCAATCAAAACGATCGATACGGCCGATCAACCCCGCGGCTCTCTCGCACTGCCGAGGTCCGTCCTTTTTTTCTCAGCCACTCTTTCTGCACTTAGCTCCCCTCCCCGTTCTTCCCTTTCTCTTTTTTTCCTTTTTGTATAGCGCCAACGTGTATTCGTTTCATTTTAAAGGACGGAGAGCACGCGCGCAAGAGAGAGGAGATGCTAATAAGGACGCGAGAGACGCGTCCATTAATTGGGAGAATGAATAATTCTGTTCTTCGAAATCAATTCTTCCTAAATGCACCTTTACTCATACTTTTCGTAGCTTTTTGCGCGAGCACTTCTTCCCTTTCGTTTCTTCTCTCATAAATTCAAAGGAGAACTTGTTCCTGATAAAAATTTTTATCGGCCCTCACCTCTCTTTGCGACTTTCGTAATCGTCCGATATTAAATATTTTCACGAAAGAATTTTCAATTAAGACTCGGAAACTATCGGTACCTTTGTACCTTCGCTGGAGAGAAATCAGGATTCGAAGTAAGTCGGAGACTCTGCAAAACGAACCAACGAAAAACGTAGGAAATATGAGACATCCTTCACTTTACGGGTGAATTTCATGCTCTCCTTCAGTGATTGTTGAAAAATAATCGTGTTTCCGATAGCGCCGAACTCAGGGATTCGTCCACTTTTCGAGGAGGAAGCCGCACTAACGGCGCGTCTCGAAGCGAAATCGAGCGGACAATCGCTCGAAAAGAAATCCGTGACCATACGATTTAACCGAACTCGATTTGGTTTCGATTAGAAGTTGCAAATAGAACCATCAATGTGGCGGTTCGCGGATCGGCCAACGATAAGTCACGGTTGACCGCCCCCGTGCAGCAATCCATTGTGTAGGGCTAAAGTTACGGCGTAACCAAGTTGGGAAAAAGTTCGTTCTGTTGTTCTCTCTCTCCTCTCCCTCTCTCTATTCCTTTCTTTTTTAACTAAAGGTGAACCTAAAGGGGTTCTTGGCCCCAGGGTTAAACATATCTACCCATCTATCTATCTCTTTCTCGGGCGTATAACGCGCTTCTCAATTCTCACGATTCCCATCCCGCCGGGCGTCGGAAACGCGGAAAGGTGCGACCGAGCGGATCCGCGGCGGCCGCAGGACGCGATCGCGAAGGGAAAGTCGAGCGACCGCCGTAGAGGCGGAGGCCGATCGTGTTCGCGAAGGAGGCTCCGGTGAAAATGAAGGGAAACAAAAGCGAGACATCGCGGCGCAAAGACGACTGGCAGCCAACTAACTAACCTTCACGCGCTAGTATCCGTCACCGTGGCCAAGAGAGTACCCTGGTGCAGAAGCAATCACATGATGCACTAACACCATACGATGCACAACACGGCCGTACCACCGGCTTGAATCCGTCGACGGGGCATCGGTCGGGACGCCGCGCGATCGTCCTCGGCCTCGGCGCGGCGGTGACAGAAGGGAACGTCGAGCAGGACGATCCTTTGCGAGTGGCCAGGGCGCTTCGTTCTTCCTTTCTCTATCTCTCTCTTTCTTTCTCCTTTTCGCTCACTCTCTCTCTCTCTTCCTCGCTCCCACCCTCTCTCGACGGTGCCGAGACGTACGGAACGAAGCGAAACGACGTCGAGCACGACGGACGCGAGCACGACGCGACGACGAGCGGCGTGCGTCAACTTGCTGCTCCGGAGATCTCGCTCGAGAGCGAAACGGGTTCGGTGACACCACGACGTACGCCCGTGCGTCGTCTCTCCGGCGACGGTGCGGCGCGGCCGAGGCACGGTAACAATGGCGGCGTCCGACGTGCGCCCACGGACGGGGGAAGCGCTGTGTCGATAGATGTCCCTGCGAGACGGCGACCGCGTACGCGGCCATGCGTAACGCGCGACTTTTCCCGAAGCCGGGACGCGACGAAAAGTCACCTCGGTTTCTCGCGACGCGTCGATCGCAAAATTGAATTTTTCCACCGATTCGATCGTCGTGCTTTCGACGACAAGCTTAATTTATTTTTTACCGATGTTTCTCATCGCGCTTCGAATGAGAACGAAGCTGTCGCGGCGACTAAATATAATTCGCAATTTTGCTACGTAAAGTATTTTACCGCCGGCTCGGGCGCTTCAACGGAGTATTCGACGGAGAGAAGTACATCTCGCGTGATACTTTCAAGAAGTTGCTTTTCAATTTCGCTGCTCGGAATTAAAGAATGCTGATAACCGGTCCGGCACCGCACCGACTGTGCGTAAAAGCGGCCGTCGATTGGCGCGTCGAGCTCTTGCATGGTGCTGCCATCTCGGCGTCGGCCTGCAATTATCGACATCGCAGGCAAGACGCCGCGTCGCGATTTATGTCGATAGTGCCTAACCACAGATCGAACACGAAGTATCCGACGGCGTGTTCGATAAACGCGTCTATCTATTTGCGCGTATCGCGACTCGTCTGCGAAAGAATAAAACAACCGCGACGCACGTGCCGATAAAATGGGATTTCGCGCTCCGGCGAAAGAGAGTTGGTACGTAAGAACATGGATTTTTGTGTTCGTCGAACGCCACGCGTTCGGAAGTGCATGCGTGCATGTGCGCCATGCAGCGGCACGTGCTGCGCTTTTACGTGCGTGTGGAGGCGGCCTGAGAAGTGAGAAAAAAGATCGAGGGGACCGGTTCGATGGGAAAATAAGCGGAAACCTCGGAAAAGTCAATTTTTCGTTGAAATTTAATTTAAACGGAGAATAGCGCGAAACACCGTGGGAGACGTTGATCCAAGGAAAAATTTGCTAAGAAACATTGGAATAATTATTTACTAGAATCACTTTTTCCTTGTGTAGGAAAGCAACCTTAAAAATCGCGCAATTATCGAACCACCCTTTTCATCGCGTAATTACCGATCAATTATTGAAACACGTGGAAAAACGTTTGCATGAATCATTTAATAATTGCTTCTTGACGTGCTTTTAGTATATATCATTTGCGAATGGAGAAGCATTCAGTAACCATTGAGTGGTTTTCGCGGTAAAGTCAGAGATGATTCACTCTACCTTTCTCAATATAAAATAGAGAACGGCTCGCGGGATGACGAAGCAACCGACGCGCGTTCCGTTTTTAGGACGCGCGACCGCAAACCGAACGAAGGATAATTAAAGGCCGCTCGGTTAAAAGTCATCCCGCTCGATGGTCGATAATTCCGTGGCACAAAGGTCGAATATATACACCCATATATACAGGACGTGTGCCTAAAGGTGGGTATACACTGATCGAACGAACAACGAACGAAAAGTGAATGTGTAATATGAATGTGTATATTCGCGTTTAAACACGTACGAAACGTTCTTTGGCAAACCACCTAATGAGCTAATCGGTCCGAAACACTCTGTTCAAATTCGTTATGACATACAGATTTTTCAACTTGTACACGGAAAAATCAATTTCGTTGGTGTAACTGATTTTTTCGTTGCCTGGGGACGCCAGACGAAAAATATTCGGCTGTAGGAACAAAAAGGTTCCTGTAAGAGGTTTCCACTCAGTCAATCGTTCTCAGCTGTCTCAACCGAGCTTTAATACAGCTGAATATTCATACGAATATTCTCAGTCGCGGTAACAGAGATATCACTTCTTGTCGTCGAGTTTTCATCTGATCCCTATTCTGTCGCGACAACCGAGTTCTTTCTTTCCATGTAACAATGAAAACTTGCATTCACCGTTTGTTTCTTACTCGTTCGCTCAGTGTATACCCAACTTAACGCACGTCTATGTATTGGAAACTCACAGTAGGCACGGGAAGCAAAGAGGTTCTTTTCGTGGAATCTACTCAAAGTATGCGTCGGAGGAGACTCGCCGGCGCGCGGAGTTTCACTTTCGCGGAAATCGAGCTCGAATCATCGAGAATCGATCTTTGACGACCTTCTGCGTCATCGAATTCGTGACCACTCACCCCGGTATAAAATCGAGACTCAACATTAGACTTAGACGTTTACGCGTAAAATACAATAGTCTAGACGTCGACAAAGTAAACTATGTGTAACGTGTCACCTGTGTAGACAATGAATAATTTATGAGCCGTTATAAGACGACATCTTCTTACATTTCGTAAACCTCCTTTTCATATTCTTTTTCTGTTAAAAGAGCTCACATGTAAACCTAAATGATAAGATTTACACATTAATAGCGTGTACACATTTTATATCACTGTAGAAATATTTTTAATATGCGTAAAATGGATTGCATCTAATTTAATCTAACATATACATAACGGCATAATTTTGCTATTCTACGATGCTAAAAAAATAGATGCAATTTAAAATGCTATCGGCGCAACACTCGTTCCACCGAGGATTCGCGAGACGGGCACGAGACGGGCGCGAGGTTCACCACGTGCGAAGGCGACTGGGCGGCCAGGATCCCGACGTGATCGATAATGGGGGCGTGTATCGACGGGATATTTCACTCTCGCTGGACTCGCGTCGGCCGCGACGACCAAGGGGATGCTTCGCGCGCGCGCGCAAGCGAGCGAGCGGCCCGCGGCGGGACGCTCTTCTCTCGCGGTAGGTGCGCGACCTACCGCGACAGGTCGAGCAGTCGTCGGCGAGTCGATGGTAAGGTGTTTTCGCCCGATCGTGTACCGCCCCCGATCGCCGTATCTCCAGCCTTGATCGGCACGTGACTGCCCTCCACGTCTCGTCCCGCGACACCCTTGGAAACGAAAAATCACAGAGGCGACCCGTGCTCGACGCTTCGGCGAGATATCGCCGGGCGGGCTTTCTTGTCTATACGTTGTGTGTTAATTGTTTCATTATCGCGCTACATGTGATACCGTCGATATCGCCAGTACGTCGGCTCATTGAGACTCTCGTTTCGCTCGCTGATTATCGGGACGCACCAGTTGCACGGTGTGTGCGAAGTCGGTTGTTGTCTCGGATCTTTTTATCTGGCGACACGACAACCGGATAGTGCGTACGTCGGCTGTGCGGTCGCTCTTCGCGCACCGTCTTTTCCTCAGAGTGGTGCGGAAACGGTGAATTTGGGGGCGCGATTTTATCTCTTGGATAAAGCACCACCGCCGACTCGTGTGCGTGAGTATGAATGTCGCCGCCCGACTCGGTGGGAGTCAATGAATCGGGGAGCCAAGACGAGATCCGTTCGCTCGTCCTCGCCGCGATAAAAAGCGAGCGTGCGATCCAATATGTCGAGACACACGTGAAGCATATGTCGCATTAATATTCCAGCTCGCCAATACACGTCGCGTCGTTCCTTCCGCGCAATTTTACTCACACACGTCTGGACTGAAATAAAAAACACAGCTCATTATTATTGCAACACATCAAAAGCTTTTCGTCGACGGGATTTCATTGCATAGTGGCGCACGCCGCAAAACTCAGAGTTGATGAATTTGCGTTGTTAAATGCCATAGTACGTTCACATCGGGAACGTCATCGAAAGAGAAAAAAGAGAAACAAGGCAACACACGGACATCTCCGGCGATGATCTCGGCGATAGCTCGCCAACGGGAAGGTTAATCGCGTCCCTTCATCAATTGGGGGTGTTATCGAGGCCACGAGGACGCTCTCTGCGCAGGTGCCTCGCGCGACATGCGAGACCTTTCGATCGTCCTTTCTCGGCTGGAAGGTGTTTGTCAGTCGCACGGCTTAATGTGAACATCGTCGTCGTCGGTCGTCTCGGCGACAGAACGATCGAATCGATCTTGATAAGCGAGAAAAAATACCGAGAAAATTAAAATAGAGATAGAGAGAGAGAGAGGGAAAGCGAGAAGAAGGGAAGAGGGGAGAAGAAGCGCGCGACTCCGCGCGAGACGCGCGTTTAAAATAAATCCGCGACCTGGCGAATGTCGGACCGTCGATTAACACGAGCTAATTTTTGCACGCGGGGGATAACGCGAGCGCGTGTCCGCCACGGCGGCACGATCATCCTCTCATTATCGATCACGTCCGTTGTACGCGATATACGTATACTATTCGCGACGACGCGAATTCGATTGCTCGGCGATCCGACAGAGAGAGAGAGAGAGAGAGAGAGACTAAACGGGGTTAAAGCGAATTAAGTCAAACGGCGTGCCGCGAAGGAAAGTGATTACGAGACGAACCGAGGTCCCTCGGTTTCTTCCATCTGCGACCACCGCTCAGGCCGGAATGAAAATTAGCGTACTAACGACTCGCGAGGGTTTTCCCGGTTGGCGAAACTCCGCACGGGGTGACTCGCTAATCTGTCAGCCCGAGAGAAGAAAGTTTCCCAGCGAGAACTTCTGCGACGCGCTTCCCCCTTGCGAAGAACGGTCCTCCCGCGAGCCGGAATTTTGATGCTATCTTGACGTTCTTCAGAATAGTTTGGACGGTCTGTACGTAAGCGAATTCGGTAAATGGCGGGAAAAAAGTGATAGGCGAAAAGTCACGGGACATCTGGAGATGAAATATTGACGCGGATTTTAAGAGATTGATATTGCAATTAATATTTTATTCGCGAAACACGAAGGAGAGGCCGAGTGTGTGCCTCCGTTACGTTCCTTGATTGGCGTCGTCGTTGATACGAATACTCGCGGGTGGTGGAGACGCACAACCACTCTCCGACCGCTAGTTTCCCTTCATCGTTCTAAATCGGTTTCAACTTCGCAGACTAGCGAACGATAAAATTAGAACGTTGCCGTACGTTATTATTGTAGTATTGAGAAACTTTTTAATACCTATCTCCGTCTCTCTCCTCTCTCGAAGGCGAGCGCGCGCGCACGTTCGCATTAAAGTTTAAACACGGCGGAGTCGCGCACACGTGCCGCGCGGTCATAAGACGGATGACATTTCTCCTCGCCGACAGATATCGATGCGGACGTCGAGCATGGTGCTGAAGTCGGACAACGGAAACGACGACGTCGACGACGTCGGCCTCCGCACGCAGCGCGCGATCGACGAACAGCAGCGATTCGTGACGACCTCGATGCATTAGAGCGCGGGTGTGTCGGATGCGATCGAAATGTCGTTTTTCGGTCGGAAAATGGGCGGCGGCGGCGGCGGTTCCGAGCACACCGGCCGTAACCTACAGGACGGCCTGTTCCAAATCGCGTCGCAGGCCTGCCATATCCTGGTGCAGGTGAGTCGATCCTTGCGTCGGGACGTTTATGGGGCCGGTATGATCGGTCGCAACACTTTTTTTCTGAATGGGTGAGTTTCGCAACGTATCTCGTGTCCAATAGTAATATGTATCCCCCGAGAATGACTGAAAAAAACAAATTTCCCTATTGGACACGAGATACTTATATATCCCGAAACTTATTAAAAAAATGTTGCAACCTTTTTGTGACTGGCTATGTATATGCGCTCGAGTATAGTTAGCGAGATAGTAGCGAAATAATTTCAACTCTTTTAATTCATTATTTCATTTCCAATTCTTTTTCTCGTCTTTCGCGTTACTATGCGTGAAAAGCAACTCCGTTGGCGTAACTGTGTTTTCCGTCGTCTGGGGATCAGACAAAAATTTGGTTATAGGAGCAGAAAGCTCTCAGTCGTTTCTCAATCAGTTCATGCAGCTGAGTGTTCATACGAATATTCTCAGTCGCGTTAACAGAGATATCATTTGTTGCCATTGAGTTTTCACCTGATATTTATTCAGTTGTAAGAACAGAGTGTATTTCCGTTTCTTCTAAAGAATTCTTCTCCTTGAACAAATATACAGTATCAAAAGATAACATCGCTTTCTCGCTGATGCTAGTTCGGCTTTTTTGATCGTCGAGCTTGCGCACGTCGCATTATCCGTTTTACCGTGCAAAACACGAGATCGCCTCCGATAATTTGGCGAACAAACGGACCAAGGATGATTTCAAGCGCTCTGTAGCCACATGACGCGCGCGTATCATGCCTTTGCGTTCGACTCACGTAATTCTCGAAACGTGTAACAGCAGCATTTGGATTAACGAGTTGATTAACGGACACGGTAGCGCGTGTACCGTAAATTTAATCGACTCTCACGAACGTCCGATGGCTCATGTATGCTTTGTTTCTCGGCCAGCGAAATCCTTTTCACTTTCCAGCTGTCAAAAGTCACCCAGTCGTCTCTCTCTCCCTCTTCATGTTTCGAGTCGACGCTTGTTTTTACATATCTCTGTCGTGAATTTTTGTTCAAATTAACTCCGAAAACTGAGGCCTGTTTATCAAGTCGACCGTAAAATACGCTTTTACGTATTACTTTTGCGTCTTCTCCTTAATTGGCGAAAGGCTTCCCGCTCTCGATCTTTCAGAACCGCGTAGAAAAGTATTATGTTACGATGTTGAGACATAGGGTGTTTGCTTTAGCTTCTCTCTGTATCCGAGAGAATTTGCTCGCGAGCTCGTCGGCCGACAGAGATCGATAGAGGAAAAATCGCGTGGCATTTTTTGTCGAGGTGAACAACACGCACAACGTTTCCTACGGCGGTAGCAATAATGTGAACAACATCACATACTCGAAGTACTCCACTGCCGGCGGCGGCCCCGCCGCTACGGCCACTTCATCGGCGACGAAGGGGGCCACCACCGCCAAGGCGTATCCGAAATACGCGGAGCCACGGGAGAAGGATCAAGATGTGGTGGTGTTGCTGCCACATCGCAAGAACAGAACGCCGCGACTCAAGCACAAATTGTCGGTACGTCTCGTTGCCGTCGTCCCTACGCTTTGTCGTCTGCAAAGTTCACGCGAAGTTCACAGACCGGGTCGCGCAAAGCTGCGCCGAAGCCAAAATCCGCCCGCCATTCGCACTCGGCGCATTTCACGCACGACTTTACTTTTAAAGTAGACATCGCACTTAAATCTGGTCTAATTTGTCTTCCTCCTCCTCATCCTCCTTCTTCCTCGTTTCCTCATCGTACACGAAGATAAATAAGTTGCTAACATATCAAATTTTATGCTATCGCAGCAAAATCTGTCAGTTCGGACAACAAAACTATTTGTTAAAAATACTAATCGCTATTCGTTGAATTATTTTGCTGAATCTGCTAGTTATTTTGCTGTAAGAACAAATTAGTGAGTATAAGAGAACATTATTTTGTCCTAACAGCAAATTGATGCGTCCTAAGGATCAATTCATCCAGCAGAATATTTTTTCCTGGCAACAAAACTGTTTCTGCTCTAATTATGAATAATTCGCTAATTTGGTGATGCTAATTAAATTTTATTGTCATCGCAACGAATATACAGTAACAACGATGGTATTCACTGCAACAGCAAATTAATTTTTTTCCGTATACAAATATATTTCTATCGCCTCTACAGAAATAACTTTACGCATCGCGATAAAGAAAGCCTCTAGGATATCAGTTGGTTCGAAAACTTCACGAACGTCGGTCGATGTTCCTTTTTTCCCGTTCGGGAGAAATTAAATTTTAGTTATCAGATAACCAAAGTGTATCAGGCTGAAATTTTTTAGATTAATAAATTTCAAGAAGGATCGGCTTGACGGTCGGGATCCAGGAAATGTGCGACTCGCTGTTTACTCACCGACGTAATATTATTGTCCTCTCGATAAAAACATTAACGTCGACATCATTACGATTCTACACCGTTTGCTTGACGCCAACCTCGAGAGGTGCGAGAGAAGCACGAGTTCTCGCTCGTTCTGTGATAAAAAATTCTCTCGCCGTTCTGGGTATCGCGTTAATTTACTCCATTGGATGAATATTTCCGATTTATATTGCGCATCGACCTTGTTTATTTCTCCAATGAGTCACGATGAGTTCACATCGATTTCCCGGTCACGTGTCCGAAACAAAGCGGAACGATGTGCGCGCGGGCTGTTTATCATGCGGACGAGATAAAATCCACATATTGCACAACTTGACCATTTTAATCGCGGGAGAGTGATACAAGTTAACGACGCAAATCTATCTGGCATCGAGTTTCCCTGTTTACTCTCTCGATTTGTCGTCTCGTTGGGTGTGCGATAAAGCACGAATTGATTCGCGAAATCTCTCGCGTTGAAATTCCTCGTGAATTCATACCGTCTTCATCTGTCCGTTCTCACCGCCACCCATCTCTCAACCGAATCTCGCGAATATAGAGCCGTGGCGCGTGACAAACGCTGTTTGCAGACCGTGTCCGAAAACGCACGGCTGGATGTGAACTCGCCGAGCGGCGACGACGATCTGGAATTATGGGACCAGTCGGGATTTATGTTGAGGACCGACGTGGACGACCCCCTCACGAACGCAAAGTACGTAACTTTGATTTGGCGATTAGAAGCTTGAGCGAGGCATCACATTTGGCCTATGATTCGGTTCAGAAAAATTAATAGACGCGCAGGTCGAACCTGTTAATCGTTCACGAGAAAATAACGAGAATGAATCCATCAGTTTTCCGATGATTATTCTTTTTTATTTTGTAACTGAGGGATCTCTCTTTTTCCGTTAACGAACATTTACTAAATTAGATTCTAACTCGTCGAAAACAGTCGAAACAGTCACTTGCCGAACAAGTCATTACCTCGATCTGTAGGAATTCTCGTATTCCCGCATCGAAATTTTAGTTCTATGTTGAATCTTTAATTCTACAACACAGTTAGCAAAATAGGTCCAATTTCAATTTCAATGAAGTTTTTCAAAATAATCTTAAGAGCAAACCGATATCTCCGATTCGCAAGATCGAACGTTCAGCTACTATACAGAGTCCCGATGAGAGCATCATGAATGCAATCGATGTGGAATCCACGTGTAAGGAAGTAGATTCCACGTCAATTCCACGTCTATTCCACGGATATTCTCATGGGGATGTCCCGGAATAACCGCATGTGGGCGGCAGATTCTTCGTGCCAATCGAAACCATTCCTCGTTTACCAACGCTTCGTTCAAACGATAGTTTTTACAAATTTTGCCAAAGAAAGGAGAATTTGTGCCGAAGAAAAGAGACCGGCTTCTTGTTAATACTTGACATTAAAATATTATATTTTTAACGAAAACAATACATTTCCGCATAAAATATTTATAATCATACGGCATATTTATATTACGATACGTTATATCTAAATGACGAGAAAATATGAAACTGAGCGAAAAGTTTTACGTGGGACGTATGCAACTCACGCGGCAGCGAACGTATCAAGAGCAAGGTAGCATCGAAGGTTTCAACTCGAGTCCTCCCGTAGGCCGATTCTCCAACTTTTAACGACAGTTCGTTATCGTTACGCCGTCGTCGTTGCTTTTCCGCCATGTATTATACCTGCGCGACGGCAACGTAACGATAACGGCACTCGTCGTCGTCAAAAGTTAGAGAATCGGCCTACCGACTTGGCGCGGAATCGCTATTTTCGTATGAAAGGATCCGGGCTGGCGGATGCGCGTCCACTCGACGGACAATGTTAGGTATCGCGACGACGATCGCGTGATAAGCGTGCATTATACCTGTGTCGAAGGTGGGGCGCGCAGGGCTGGTGCAGGCCGAGCTGCATACCGATCACGATCATACTGATCCTGATCGTGCTGGTGGTGCTGCTGCCGCTGTTGGACCACGCGGCGGACAAGTACGCGTTGAACGCGAGCGCGTACGACGCGGAGTCCACGTGTATGGATCGTTGCGCCGTGTCCTTGCTGGAGACGATACCGGTCGGCATGAATTACAGCGATAACGCGCCGCGACACGAGACCATTCACGACTCGTGGATGGATCTGATCGGGATGGCGCAGGAGACGATCGAGATCGCGTCGCTCTATTGGACGATGAGGAGGGAGGACGTGTTTCCCGATGACACCGCTAAGGAGGCAAGTAGAATAGGAGACGGATGAGATGCTTCTTCAGCTGCCATTACCACCGAGGTCGTCGTCACCATGACGCTGTCGCGGAGATGAACGAATCGCGACAGCCTCGTGGGACGGCTCCTCGGTGATCTCTATATCTATCTACGTGATGTTTGGTTAAGAAAAATCGATACCTGCCGCAGGGTGAGCAAGTATTCCAATCGCTCCTCGAGGCTGGAAGAGATAGACAAATTACGCTCAAAATAGCGCAGAACATTCCCTCTCGCCTGTCCCCGAACATCGATACGCAAATTTTGGCCAAGAAGGCTAACGCACAGGTAATATGCCCGCGATATTCGCTTCGGTAGCTTCGAAGGTCGATAAACCGGAAGAGTCTTATCGCAGCGATCTTGTCGTGTCGATCCGCCTGACAGATGTGTGTCCGGTCGAGGGCAAGTCGATCAACGATTTAAGATTTCGCCGCCCGGAAAGGGGGGATTCATTCCCGAATCGAAAATTTTGTCCTCCGTTCAATCCTGAATCGGACCTTTAATGAAATCTTAATTATTAATTATAACTTTAATTAAACATCACATTAAACCTGTAATTCTGCAATACACGGAGATTATACAATGCACGGAGAGGAAGTTTTCTTTGGATTTAATAAAATTTCTTTAATTGAAACAAATTTGTATTTCGTATCTGAAAAACATGCGACAATCTAATGACCAATAACCCGAGACCTTTGGGATCGTGAGTCAATCACCTTAGACTACTACTACGCCACTTCGTCTATTAATATAAATGTATTTCGTCTTGTCTATATATAGAATAACCCGAGAGAAAGAGAGAGAGAGAGAGAGAGAGCACAACTAACCAACCTTAGCATACTCATGCTAATAATTTCAACTAAAGTTGTATCTCGCAGTAAATATATTTTACCTGTAATAGCCAACTTTTAGCAGTGACAGCAAAGTTCAGAATAGCTAATGAGGTTTAGCTATTATGCTATTACCAGGTCGTTTCTCTGAATATACTAAGTCCAAACAAACCTTTTTCTCTGTATAGAAGTTAGGATAGCAAAATAGGTCCCCGCGACTTTAATTCTAACAATATAATTTACTTTCACTTTTTGATCCTGATGATGTCTTAGTTTTTCTTTTGTTTTTTCAACGTTAAAATAGGTCGTTCGAGGTAGCATTAAAATAAAAGTGTATAGAACCGAAGGTTGCAGAGAGAAGTTAACAGGTGTTGGTATCGTATTAATGCAGATATTTATTGGTCGATGGGCCATCTAAGCAAGCTACCCTTAAAAGTACTAAAATAGCGTGAAAAATTTCGACTCGGGTTTGGCCCCGCGAAAATAGCCGCGAGATGTAACTTCACGCGTGATCGATCGACAAGCATGAGCAGCAAGTGTGAGATATACAAAATAAGCAGAGAGGGATGTACGCATATGCTTTCGTCCCCGAATCCAGGTGAGAAGTTTGAATTTCGCTGCCTTGCTGGGCGGCGGTGTGCTTCATACCAAGCTGTGGCTCATCGATCGCACTCACGTATACGTAGGTTCGGCGAATATGGATTGGCGATCCCTGTCGCATGTAAAGGAGCTCGGCCTGGTAGCTCTGAATTGTTCGTGTCTAGCGAACGACTACGCCAAAATATTCGATGTGAGCATTTTAAGCAGCAATGTTCGTCGCGCGCGGAACGTAAGTCGTTCTCCGCGCCTTTCTCACCCGGTCAACTCCGTCGAACTCTGTTCCTGTTTCACTTCGCAGGTATACTGGAAGTTAGGTCAAGACGGTAAAGTGCCTTCCACGTGGCCGGACTCCCTCAGCACAAAGATAAACATAGATAATCCCATGAATTTCACGTACATGGATAATAAGTACAAACTATTCATCGCGGTTAGTATAGATCGTACGTTAATCGTTCATTCGTGAGAGAGAGAGAGAGAGAGAAAGAGAACAAGAATTCAATGCGAGAAACACGAAACACCGAAAACGTCATTGCAGAGCTCACCGCCGCCGTTCTCGCCGAGAGGCAGGAGCAACGATCTGGACGCGATCTTACACTGCATCGCCAAGGCGGAGAGGTTCATTTATATCTCCGTGATGGATTATTTCCCGCTGACCATCTATACTGCACAAGTGAAGTAAGTACGTGACGATCGGTGTGTGCGGGAGTGTGCGGGGAATAATTCTCCAGAAGAATTGCAAAACGCAAAGCGCGAAAATCGATCGGGCGTCGTAAGGAAGGTACTCCCCGTCGACTTTCGTCGGAAAGTTCCGCGAATACTTCTCGATATTGCCTCTGCACTCCCGGTAATTAAGGAAGCGTTGAAAGCATTAAAAGCGGGCTCCACCTGCGTTTATAGATACTGGCCTATAATAGACGACGCTCTAAGGGCTGCGGCGATCGAACGTAAGATAGACGTGCGCCTCTTGATCTCCTGGTGGAAACACTCGAGACCGTCCGAAACGTATTTCCTGAAGTCGCTGCAGGACCTGACGTCCAGCTATCCGAAGGTCAAAGTCGAGGTGGTGAGTATCCGTCGGGATCGCGCGGCCAGCGCGCTGACGAAATCGCCGATGCGACGCGTCTTCTTGCAGAGGCGGTTCATCGTGCCCACGAATCCGCGCTGGGATAAAATACCGTTCTCCAGGGTGAACCATAATAAATACATGGTGACCGACGTGGCGGCTTACATCGGTACGAGCAATTGGTCGGGCGATTACTTTATCAACACGGCCGGTGAGTGCATCCCGATGTCGCTTTGTGTTAAAATAGAAGACACGTGGTGGCGATGATAGAATCGAAGCTCCTACTTTGCACAAACTTTGCCTTCTCCAACCGCTCGCATTGTTAAACTGCTTTTATATTGGTGACTTTTCAACTTTCAATGATTAACCACGGGTGGAAAAACAGAATTTTGCATTATCACCAGGTTAGGTCTAACCAGAAAATGAAACACCAGACCTTAGTATTCTAAGGTTAATCACAAGTGCGGGCACGCGTCTCTCTCTTTCTCTCTCTGAATTCTTCCCAATTGCGTCCGTAAGCTCGCACTAACGCGATGCGTTTGTTCCAGGTATCGGCACCGTGTTCGAAAACGTCGGTCACCAGACTAAGGACGGTATAAGGCAACAGCTGGAGGATATCTTCCACCGCGACTGGTATTCCGATTACTCTTTCCCGCTGAATGCGAGCGAGACGCGCCTCGAGAATACGTGGAGCTTGTCGAGGAGCACGTATCAGCACTCGTCGCATGAGCCTTACATACACGCGTAATTAACGTGAGCCGACTTGCGGCGGGTTCGTTCGCAATTAGCGGAGAATTGCGTCGCGTCGCGCAGGGAGAGGGAAAAGCCCTCTCGCCTCTCGAGACTCTCCGCGGGAGATTCCTTTACGTGTTCCTTTACCGCATTCCCAGCGCCTTGTGCATGCCCGAGAGTCATTTTTACAAATATTTTTCGGAGCTCCTCGCGCGCGCGCGCGTGGTGACAGTGGATGCATTAATTAACTTCTCGATTTGCAATTAGGCATATGTTGCTATCTACTTATGACGCTTCTCTCATGCGTTATACGATGTCGTGATGTAATGATGCGAGGCGCTTCTTAAGAGAATGTCTTTTTAAGGAGCTAAATTATGCAGAATTTGAGAAATAAGTTGGCCGACACCGGCCACCGATGCATGAAATTAACAGTTTACATCTTTTATATAAATATTTTTTTTAAAGATTTATTACGTTGTTGATCGTGTCGAGTCGGGTTCGAAATTAATAAATTCGGTCAGAAGCAATACCGATTGAACGATCATGTTTATACGCAATCTTTTTGTATGTTTACTAGTAATTAAGTCTCTCTCTGTCTCTCTCTCTCTCTCTCTCTCTCTCTTTTTCTTTCTTTCTCCTTTTTTTTGCCTGTTGCTCTCTCAAGTATGCCCTTTCCGTAATCTGCTTTTCCAAGATCCCCGAGACCGTTGAATCTCCGCTTGAAATTTTTTAAAATTTTACCGGCTAAAGATAAGAGAAAACTGCGACATCAGTTCTTTCCTCGTTATTAATTGAGTTACTAATGACACCTTGTCATAACCGTCGTTATTGTCCCCATTATCATAATTACGCATATCGTTGCATGCGTCAGCAGTTTGCTTAACGAGCGTATCATTTAATAAGAAGGGTAGAAGATAATATGTGCCTTACAAGAAACGTTTCCGCGATGGGCACGGTTTACGATGACTCCGCGTTCTTCCATGTGTAAATTTACGACCTAAGGACTCGACCTGCCGCTTGCGTTGTGCCTATTGTTTGCTGTATATATATCTAAAAACAGGACCTAAATGGATTCCATTGACAGGAGGTAAAGCGACGAAACACTCGTCGGGGCGACACGTAACATGACGAGAAAAGGAAAACGGAAAAAATAGGAAGGAAAAATGAAGAAAAAACGGCACAATATAAATTCCGTGTTTGCACGACGCATTATTGAGAAAAACGAACGGCCGTCGTGTGGTTATGCCGAAGTTCGTTCGAAACTAAATGCGTCGATCGTCCCGACTCTGCTTTCTTACCCTCTTTTATCGCTAAGTATTATAATATCACCAATATGTTTTTCCAAAGGGGAAGAGATTTGCAAGTATAAATAAGAGATCGAAGTCTAAAATGAAAATTCCCAGGTCGCGGTGCGTATATGGAAACGCTAAATTCCTTGTTTCTTTCCTTTTTTTTCTTGCCACCCGGACTTAATAATCGCCACATGTGCGATCCGTGGATCGTGGAGCGTGACGTGCGTAAAATTAATGACGTTAATTAGAGCGTTTTGAGAAAAAGAAGGAAAGAGGGATTTTCGTTCGAAGGAAATGCTCGCGCAAAGCGGGAACGCTCGGTCCGCGGGCGTCAACGGTCATACAGTAATCGTCATTGGATGTTGGATCATGATTTTCAAAATAAAGTCCGAGAAATTTCCACAACATGTGTCATCGCATTCTCTCAATCCTCCCGTCAAACTGACAAAAGCGGAGCGATCAGAAGCCGAGTGATAAGTCGAGCTCTGGTGGATTTTTCAACAGCACTTTGAGTGCCTAAAATAACAGCAGGAACGATTCACAGCGACCGAATTCGTTGAAATAAACGAAATGACAAAAACCAACGGCGCGAGCCGACGTTAGGAAATGATCGACGGATATGAGATTACTATTGACAAAAGTGTTGGTCTGTGTTGACTGAGTCTGCCGTCCGTATGTTCAGTTTGCGCTCACCGTATGTTGACTTTTGCACGTGTTGAAAAACAGCGCGGTGGAAAAAATGCGTTATTAAAAATGAACTCAGCTCTCATGACGTGTCTGCGAGAGAGAACTGCGAGCCTGCGAGTTGCGAGAACTACGATATATCGATTCGCCAGTGTATGCCAAAGGCTATAGCGCGCGTACTGTTCGCGGTTATACCTCAGAAAACCGCCACTTTGCATACCGTCGACTGCAAACAACGATAAATAAAAAATTGCGCCTTGGAATGTCGCCGCGATCATCGGCACGAATGTGCGCGTGACGAAAATAGAAAAAAAGATATATAAAACGTGTGGAGATTTTTTCTAGTCGTGTACACCTAGCCGATACCTTGCCGCGTTAAAATGCGAAGGCACGAGGACGGATGTTCGGTCTAATTCTAATTAAAGTTGCCTGAGCGACTCGAGAAAGGCGAAACAATTCCTCATGTTCTGTTAGATTGTGCATACGGTTTCTGAACGATTCGAATTAGAGCAAGTGATTTTGTTCGATTGTATTCCACATAGATAGATATATTTGTTCACTTGTGGATCCTAAGGAACTTCTCGGAACAACCATTTACTTTACAGTATTTCCAGATGTAGATAATTTACTATCTTGTCTTTTACGATATGCCGTAAGGTCAAGTTTACAATATTGTATCGTCACGTATAAGCGCATCAGTAAATAAGTGACGACGATGTTGTTCTGTTAGATAAGCTTGATATAAGAGGCAGATCTGACGTAAAAATACGCAGATAGATACAGTAGGCCACAGGTTGCGACAGTCTTTTTCTTGCATGTTTCACAAAACATATAATAAATATGACAAATCAAATCTATGATTCACGAACATGCGCAGTAGATGGTCAGCCAGCTGTCTGAAGTCAGAAAATTAGACATGCATATGTTAAAATTGCATGTGAATATGTAATTTTGACAGCTGTCTGACTATCTTCTGCGCATATTCGTAAATCATAGATTTGTTTCGTCATATTTCTTGTATTCTGAGGCAGTAAGGAAAAAACGGTTGCAACCGTCCTGTGCGTAACGTTTCTTCTAACGTTTGCTCGTTAAAGCATTTTCGCGAGCAAATTGAGCTTTTCGGGCGGCAAACACCATTATCTCGAGCGACACCATGAGAAAAATGCTGAGTCAAAATTCCAAAAGCAAAGCTTTCACCTCGAGACGTCGGTCGTATCTTGAAAATGTACGGCGCGTCACTCATCACTTACCTTCTGCCCCCTTATCGTACACAGAGAAAACGATTTCTTCGGATTTGATAAAATTTCTTTAAATGAAACAAATTTGTCTTTAATACTGCCTTGCTATCGAACGACATGGTTAATTCGAGTGAAACAACATTTTCATTCAAAGTGACATTTGATATTAAATTATGTTATTTGTTTGACTTGGGTTTGTTGATGTGAAACAAACCCAAGTCAAACAAACACATATACTAAATCCAAAGAAATTGTTTTCTCTCTGTGTGTAACTGATAACAACAATACCGTTATCATTAACGTATCGGCGTTGTGCAGCTATATTTTGCGATATATTTTGTCTGCGCAAACATTTATAACACATACGTTAACAGTTACAGAATAAGAGAACTAGTTCCAATTTAGGTATTTTCAAGCCGAACGTATCGCATCTGAATACTCATAAGTCGTGAATTCGCGCAACAATCGGTGAACAAATGATTACGATCTTGAACGGATACACTGCATCGGTATCTGAATATTCGTTCACTTCGGAAATGTTCCAATCAGAACTTATTACCGAAGAGACGCCAATGGAGTCGCGTTGCACACAGACGATTTCTGATACGCAGACACCGCACTTGGGAATTATCTCAGGTGCATTTAACGATGGAGCTGCGTTAGCAGGTACGTGTCCGATTAAATAACATTGAATCAAATCGTTTTTAAAAAAATTCCGAAATGTCACGGGATTGTACACATGCGTTTCGCTCACGCTTTTTGTTTCGCGCGATACGTTCCACGCGGAAATATGAGATATGTAAACGCATCTTCTTCATCGAATTGACTCAAACAACGGCTCTTAATACGTGATTATAATATGATTAGGTCGAGGAGATTCGCATTTTAGCGGCCCGTACGGACACATCAATTAATTTAACGTGCATTTGCATCAGATCGTAAATCTTGAAAACGTGAGATGTTCAGATACGCGACAACGTTTCACTCCTCTCGATCGATGCATTATTTTTCATTTTTTCATCAATGCACCCGAATATATACTAGCTATATCAGCATATAACGCTGTAAAAAACGTCGTTATAGCAGTTAAGTTTTTTTTCATATTTCCGTCTCCGAGTAATAAAACCTATTTATATATCTGCTCCGCGCCGATTAAAAACGTACTCGACGGCTCGTTCGAAATGGATACTTAATATACTATCTGTATATTAAAAAAATTAATTTGCCAATTTAAATTCGTCGAGTAATGTTTCAACGAAAGTGAAAAATAAATCTGTGAGATGAAATTTACATATATTAAGCGTAATGCAAATTTTACGTCAAACTTCGCAGACACTACAGACGGTTGAACATATTTTTTTATAATCTTTTTTATTTATTTTCTTCATATTGACGTTAGAAATGTATATTCAGGAAATACGTATGGAAATACATGACGCATCGTTCCTTTAATTTTTCGATCCAGCATCTTGGTTTTTTTACGACTTCGTCATGGCGCCTAGATGCTATTTTATAACATGATGTTATATAACACGCGATTATATTTAAGACACGCACGTTAATTAACGTGACGTCGATGAGAGCCTGATTAAATATTCCAAGAAATCGAAACAATCGACAAGAGAAATGCCGGTTATCCCCTCCTTTCCCATCGTCAGCAGTCGTTGCTGCTTATCAAACGGTGAGTGATTACATAATCAAAAGATTTCGGGCCTTAAATACGGTCAAACGTACCTTCGCGCATCGCATACATTTCCGAGTGTTGATTATATTATTGAACTTGCGAGTTACTCGTGTATCACAGAAGAAAATGTTTCGTCGGCCCTTGCAATAATTAATCAAACTTTCATTGGCCTCACGTTTTATTTTTTAACGTTGTATCTTTGATCGAATCGTGTCTACGTGAATATCAGTGTCAGTACACAACGAAGCAACCGGGATACTCGGTCGATAAGGACGAAGGACGCAGGACATTCGACATGGACAACAATGCATCACATGTTTTAAAGGTATGTCGAATCATTTATTATACAATATGTATACGGAGTGCACCGGAGAATCCTTGGTACCAACCGAAGCATCTTTTTGTTTACTAAAATATTTTCGGTAGTTCTTTTTTAGCTTGTCAAATTAACATATTACGTTGCTCACGAGTCAGGAACTGTGCGTATTCCGCGCATAAATAAAAACTATTTTTTTTCCATCTCACAAAAAATTTTATCGCACAATTATATATAACATCTGAATTTACTTTAAATGAAACTTATTTGTATAAATAACATTTTAATGGCCTTTCTCAAAAACAAAAATATTTTAAAAACGTAGGAATAAGATTTTATGTAAAAAATCACCAACAATTAATTCATATATAATTATCTTCGTCTTTCCAACTTCTCCCTTATTAGATCGTTTCAAAGCTACGTCGATGAAGTACGTCGGGGATGTGCGCAGTCGAAAAATCCGGCTGATTGTTAAATCTATTATAGTCTGTTTATTAAACAAACAAATATTCGCTTCTCGACGTCACTCCACCAACATTAACGTATCTTACTGAGGAAACGGTACCAGGCCACGGCCCGTACAATTTGCGACCGCTGTTTGTTCACTTACAGCTGACAACTCCGGATCAAGGTTCTTTTACGTGTTCGCAAACGGGACTCTGATCCCCCTCTCCCCCAACCCCGGCTCTACAAACAGTTAACCTTGTCCGAATAACCGCGATTATTCGGTAGGAAATTTGCGAAACGGTACCGACAGTTTGCATGACTTCCCTTTTCTCGTGGGGAGGGGAGAGGGGAGATATCGATCTCCCTCGATTGTCAGCGGATCCCGTCGATCACTCATTCTCATAATTTTATATTGTCGCTTTGTAACCACCGTGTTTGATTCTCGAATGCGGAATGGAATATCAAAAATTTGCGACCGCGCTGTATAACGTGGAAAAATGTTTGAGAACTTCGTGTGCACATATTTTTTACATAAAATTGTAGATGATATTCCGATCTCCCAGATACTTTGTGATGTCTTCTTTATTATATGGCATACAGGACTACACGTGGAATCCTGTCAGGGATTATAGATCATAATATGGAAACCTCTGTCTCTGTTTCTTTTCCCGCGCGTGTAAACATTCACACACGACCACGTGTAAACATCCACAAGCAAAACTTCGTTCCAGATTCACTCGTGAATCACAAATCGATCGTTCGAAGTCGGCTCGGTTTAGAGACACGTGCAATTTTAATGCACAGGCAATGGCGCAGGGGTTGCAACAGTGTGTTTTCAATTAGATCTCGCAACGCATTCGTATTCAACGGAGGAATTGTTACTTGATTATTCTCAGAAGATTAGTTTTCCTCTTGAATACCGGATGCGTTCCGAAGTTCATCAGGGGAGAAGAATGTAGCAATCCTTTCAGTACCGACCATACCGTCGGACGAAGTAGCTTCGCTTATGTAAGGCTCGTACCGGAAATTATCAGCGTATAAATATGTCGTGTTTGGGAAAGTGATTATCGAGCTTCTCGTAGAAAAAAAACCGGGTTTTCCACGAGTTGGTTTTATCGCGATTCAAAGAGGTCGTAATTGTTAATTGCGTCAGTCCGAATTAACAATAGGTAAATCTCTAGCCTTTTGCTTCAACCACTAAATTGTAACGTAATTTCTGATAAAAAGCGTCTCCACCGCTATTAGACGACAATCAATAAGACTTAAGTGTTATTGCAATTTCTGGTAACGCGAGAAATGAATTCTATTGCAAATCGTATTATATTTTATTACTTAAGGAAATTGTAAGCTCAGTATCGTATTTTTAATGGCATATTAAGTAGGCGTATTAATTTCGAAAAGCACGTGTAAAAAGTGCCAACTTTAGTTGCAAATATCTCGAATGGTCAATCTCTTCCTAATAGCAGGAGCGGTTGGACAATATTTCAGTGTACACGTAGCGCAAGCTTCATCGAATTCTTGTCAGTCATTTCGCCTTCGCTTCCTTAAGGCAAAAGACTAAAAGCTCGCTACATCTATTATAGATCCGGACTTAAAGGTTGACCGATTCCAATCGATCATTCGTCGTAAGTGAATTCTTGTCGACGGAACTAAAAGCACCGATGCCAAGGTGAAAAATCCGCCGTGGAAATCGTGAGAGTGCACTCACGTGCGCGCACTTCCGCGCGCATCCTCCAGCTGATCTCTCAGGCGTTCTCCAGCGGATCGTATTATCGGGGAGGCTTGAGGAGGGACGGATGGAAGGACAGAGTGGAAGGTAACTTCGGTCGGTGGCGCGAAGATATTGAAAAGAAAGAGGGAGGGGGAGGGGATGTTGGCGGTGGTGGAAAAAGCTGGAGAGGGACACGACACCGCCGCAGGTAGGGGTTACGACGGAAGAGGTGGAAAAGGTGAGACCAGCCGCAACGTCAGTGACAATTTCGGGCTGTTTTACTCGCGTCAAGTCCACGAGGCAGAAAAGAGGATCGATAGATCCACGCGCGAGGAGAAAGTTATTACATATCTACCTGCCGGTGTTCACATCTGCCTCCTGCTCGTCTGCCTGCCTGCCTGCCTTAGCAGCCAGATCACCTATCTTGCCAGTCTTGGCTGCCTGTCTGCCCGCTATCGTCGCGGAATCCTTTGGTCGATTATCTCTCGGCACTGTATAAGGTTAGTGGGGAATTAACGTGGGTGGATCGATATGCGAGACACGTTCGCGCGAGCACCTGTTGCAGCGAAATCGCGACACGCGTTTTTCCCGTCGTAGTCATCGGCGGCTCGTCGTCACAGCGTTGTCCTCTCCGCGCGCATGGCGCGGATGTAGGGGTTGGACACGTCGCCGTCGGCTCCAAAAGCCATCGGTGTAAGTGAAAATGATATAATCAATGTTAATTTTCGTTTGAATAGAGTATGTTCTCAAAAATCTCATTCGCTGCGTGTATCGCGCTAATTTATATTACGAAAATAAACGGGACCAACGCGACGGTGAACGAGTCGAATACGTTCGTGTGTTTGAGGGAAGCGGTATTTCCGGTTCTTAGAACCAGTTCTTCTTCAACGAATGCGGTTCGTTCATTGTCTTGCGTTGATTCGACCGATCTTCCTTCCCCGTGTAAGATCGTGAATTTTATCTTTGTCGAAATGAAACAGGGTCGAAAATTAGAAATCGCGAGCAGAGATTCGCCGGGGCGAAAGCGGAAGGAAACGTTCACGATTACTCAGTGAAACATTAATGAACTTTTTCAAGTGAAAATCCGAGCGAATTACAGAAACACTAAAAACTCGGTTATTCTTCTCGTACCAGTTGCAAAATGTACTCGGTTTCTATAAGTGACGTTAGATCCAGATCGTTTATCGACCGAATGGCGAGCGCTCCGTTGAAATCCGTCAAAGTCTCGTTCAGGCTTTTTGCTCGATCCGGTATTAGAAATGGAGCAATGCCGAGCTATTCTCCCGCCTATTCTTTATTTACACCACCCTTTACCTTCCCTTCCTTTCCATACTGCAAATTTTCAAGTGAATCAGTATGGAGTATTCGACAATGCGAGAGCTTCGGTAGAGAATCTTTAGTTCGAACTTATTGTGAACAGACATTTGGTCTACACGGATATCGGTGACGACCGATTGATCGGATGACACGAATTTCCCGCGTTTTTATAGCCTATCTGCGTTCTGTCGCTTCCTGTGAGAATTTAATCACGTATCGTCGTCGCATCTTCTATGCGTCTCGCGCACACTTCTCGTTCGGTCTTCTTCGGGCCAACGGTCAATGTCGCTTTTCGTTTAAGCGGAACCACCAAACTATCAAACCAGTTCTCGCTGCTCCCCGGTGTTCTATGATACCGGTTTAAAGATATACATTTATATTTATGGATGTGTATATAGATGGAAGATTCCCGTTAAAGAGTAATCCTTTTCCTTCACATTCCACACATGCGGCAATAAAATTCTTCAATGTAGCTTTCAACGAAGGTTAACGTACTGAAGCACTCGTTTTTCGACGGTTAGTAAGACGTGTTACGATGATCTACATCGATAGTAATTTTTAAGCGTAGACTCCGGAGAAACCGGTTTTATTTAAACGATCCCGAAATCACAGTTCTATATTAAGTTTAGTCCTACGTCAAGTCTTCAATTGTCTTCTATTTTGGCTCTTTTTGATGCAACAAATAGGAAGTTGTTATTTCCGTTTTCTCCACTTGAAGAAATTCGCACACGTCTCCGTCTGTCGATCCGTCTGTCGATACAATCGTGAACCTTCCTCGTTCGTCAATGATCGAGACACATTTCTCAATTATCGAGATATGTATAAATTATGCAAATTCTTTCGCAGTTGCGTTAACATTTTCGAAGGACGAATTTCAAAGGTCAAAAATTCTGTAATTTCAAGGTGTTTGAAAATTATTAGCAATTAAAGTACGTCATCGATCGTGGGAAATTCGTACATTTATATACGCGCCAAATGCGAATTTACACACGTCGTACATTACCGATTATGCGTCGACCACCAAATTTTATCACCTTTATGAGAATTAAAAATGAGAGGTTGCGAGTTAATACCAACGATCGATTCGAATAATAATGTCCAAGAATCGATATGCCCTTGACATTTTCGTAAGCGCATTATGGATCATAATTAAATTTTAGAATATGGATTAAGCTATCTGTGTTATCTGTGTAAAAAAATATGTATATGCGAGGAAAAAGTGATAACTAACATTTAAAGGCATGAAATGTCTTCCTGAAATGGTAGTTTCAGGAAACGAGAAATCACGTCTGCACATGAATTATGCTTCATGTCATTCTTGTCTCGATCTTTCCTCTTGCGGACGGTAAGAAAGATTGATCCTTCATCCTTTGTGCCCCACAGGAATATGACGCAATAGCGATTTCGCATAAATTTGAATGCATTATTTCCTTTTTTTCTCCCTTTACATCAATGATCTGTAACGAATATTATACGTCGGAGTATATCGGAATAAAAAAATTACTCCAATATACTTTCATAGAGAGGACAGAGGGAAACGAACTCTATAAAAAACGAGACGCGTGGTTTCGTCAAGGATGAAATTAAAGATGGAGACCCCTCGCCTACCGATCCTATCCCTGAAAAGGAACCAGCGGCTCATTCTGTCTCACGCTCCAACGAATCTTCGAGTATCAGAAAGGAACTTCATCAGGGTATCGTGGTTGTCCCACGAGAAAACAGGTTGTAACACTTTACACGCGGGCCGTTCCGTCGCGTAGCAGCAGTAGAAAACGAACACAGCCGCGAGAGGGGGAAAAAAGTAGGAAAAATTAACTGAATTCGTAGGACGAGAGCGACGGACAGACGAGCGGAGAAAGTATCCCGCGCGCTAATCTTGGGAAGAGTCGATGACTACAACGATGGTGTGTTTCGTTTCGCACACAGTCGGAAGTAATCGGCCACACGAATACATTCATTCTCGCCGGCGTTGTTCTCTTGAACGCTTTTCCTTTCCTTCTCCCCCCCCCCCCCCCCCTCTTCTCTATTCCTCTTTCTTATATTTTTCTTTTTCCGCATAGCGAACCATCGGTCTTTCGAGGAAGAAATTGGTGGGATTTTCGCGCGACTTGAACGACTAAGCGCGCTTACATCATGTGCCTAATACAATCCGGTTATAGTTACGTGGTTACATGGCTACATCCTCTTCTCTTCCTTTTTCCCCCCTAAGAAGCTAGCTTTGGCGATTTCCATAAGGAAATATTTCAGTCGCAATTCCCTCCGTATTTTATTTTTAGATCTGTATATTTTTAGAATCTCTTGCGTTAAGTCGCCATTGCGACAGCGATCGGACACACATCCATGTTCAGAGAAATGACTTTAGGTAATAGCAGCTAGATCTCAGTAGCTAGTCCGAAGTTCGCTGTCATTGCTGAAAGTTGGCTATTAAAGGTAAAATGCATGCGCTGCGAGGTACAACCTTATTAGCTGAAATTATTAGCATGAGTAGCTAAAGTTGGCCAGCTGTGCTTTCTCTCTAGTTATGCCATATATAGACAATACGAAACACGTTTATATGAATCGCCGAAGTGGTACATTATCTCAGGTAATCACGATCCACAACGGGTTCGAGACTGTTCGATGCTTAAGCATGTGTTTTTCAGATTTACGAATATAGAATTAAATCAAGTATGTGGTTAAATTTCAGGCAAAATCAGCATACACCAACACTTTAAAAACTACTGAACGGTTATTTCCGACTGTTTCTAATTTTTAGATTAATACTCTTGTGTAAAATTCTTTGTGTAAAAGATAGAATTCTGAATTTTATGACCTTTCACCAATCAATTTAATAAAGGAAATGATTGATGAAAAGTCGGATCAAGTTTCAGAATCTAATCTTTTACACAAGGAATAATAGAGTGTTAATCTAAAAAATAGAAACAACCGTTTCGGTACTTCTAAATGCTAATCTTTTAACTGCGGTACTTAAGAACACATAACAAGTGTCCGCTGTATACGGGTCGATAGTCGCAAGACAATCGCTGCGGTGCGTCACAAAAAACCAAATAAACTGATGCACTGAACTTACGTATCTTATTTATGACGTGATATCCACTTCTGTTTCACTGTTTCTGTTTACGAAATACGTAATATTCATAAAGATATAACGTAATATTCATAAAGATATCATTTCAGTAATAAGAGACATTTTTGCGGGCCAAATTTACTGGGCACATATACATACGTCCTTCATAAATGAGCGTCAAATTTCTCAAGGCATATATATACGCCCTTGGTAGCTAAAGCTTGTATTAAAAGAAAAAAAGCAATCAATTTTTAGCCGGGAGGGTGAATATGATTTCAGTATTATTGTGCAAATAGCTGAGCTAATATTTTTCGCGCCTGCATTCGAACGACTGATAAATTTAGCTGCGATAGCAACATCAGCTGCTCCTATTTCATATTATTATCGATCGGTCGTGATCAATGCGTGGCTCGATCCGTGTATGATCACTAAACCACGGTGAAGTTTCACGCATCAAATCCCTTCAAGTTTTCTCGAAGTGAGGTCACGACCGCGAGAGCCGATTTCACGTTACATGTGCATCCAATATTCATACCTGCTGACGTGGATTGGATTTTATAGACTTCAACTTATGTCCATTCCGCATCGTCGCGCTGTTTTGTGTTGTAATGTGTCATCGGTCACATTTAACGAATGGAGTGCCTGTATTATCCTGTTTTTATAAACCCCTTCCTTCCCTCTCCCATTCGCGGAAGGGATCTCATCGCTCCACTCTTTTCGAGGTTCATCTCAACCTCCATTCCGGCACAGGAACACCTCGTGACGTCATCGTTCTCGTTCTCGGCAATCGCGGAGGACACTCGAGTCGCCCATTGACGAGAGCCGCTGCATTCTTCAACTCGTCTCTATATTAAGTCGACGCTTTTCCAACGTCGCGAGCTGCCCCCTCGAGAATATCCTCCGCAGCTCCGCGAATGATGTAACAGTAAACATAGTTGTTCAAGGAGATAGCACGCAATGATTTTTAACGCGATTTCACTTTCACGTACTTTCCCAACGTCTTAAATACACACGGTTTTGTTCCTCTCTTTCCCGGAGAGAGGAAGCGAACGTCACCGACGACGACGACGACGTCGATCCCGACGTCTAAATTATTTGCGTCGCCCGGCCAGCAGC